TTTGAGGATCACCTGGCCAAATCACATAGTTGTTAATACAACAAATATACATGGTTTGGGCAGCGCAACAACACAAATTCAGTTTTGTTAGACATAACAAGCAGCCACAAAAACCCCATATCCAACCCCCCCACTCGTATTTCTACCTCTCCATCTCCTTTGGCACAGACCCGTTTCAGTCTAAAAATCACTGCCATGGTCTATTTTAGAGAGTAAGCATGAAACGCTGAGCTAAGAAGCTATAGTAGGTTTACAGGTGAGCAGAGCCCTTGTCCTGGATGGGGAGGGAAGCTGAGGAGATGGAGCCAAGCAGCAGCCTTGCACCGCCGAGGAGCAGAGCGGCAGTGTCGCCCGCTGGCCGCTCGCAGCATTGCCAGCTGACAGTGCTCTGGCCACAGCATCCTTCCTCTTTCCTGCCCTCTCCACCTTCCTCCCTGCCCTCACTTTGGGGAAACGTGCAGAATTGGCAGCCCTGAAGGTTCACCACCGCAAAATGCCTCTGCTCGGGAGCAGACCAGGGTACCACGGGGGGTTTTGGGGGGATAACAACAAGCCCAGGAGCTCTACAGGCATAACCCATGCAGGGATGCAGGCAGGACCACAATTAAAATCATCTCACATCCTTATCTTCTCTTCCTGTTTCCACCCTCTTTCTGTCCAGCTTCCACCCTCTGAAAATAGTGAACCCAAATGTAATTAATAACTTCCTCAGCAGGAATAGAACTCACCTTAGATAAGATACCTGTGCAATCACCCTGGGATATCAACATAACAAAACGTGCCCTCTGCACCTGTTAATGAATGGCTACTTCACAGCAGTTGAGTGGTCTTTAATCAGAAACCTGTACTTTAATTATGACCTCTGCACTAATGAAGAAAGCACAGAGGTGTGCAGAGCCCTATCTCAGCACCCAGAAGCAGGAGGGGAGAGAGACGTGGAAGTGTGACCCAAGCACACTGACTCAAGAATAAAAGGCAATATGCAGAACAACACTATCCTGCTTGTAAAGGCAGCGAGAGCCGGTAACACACACCTCCACGCAGCAGCTGCCACAGCCGGCTACAAGCCTTCGAGACAGCAGGTATATCCAAATTTGCCAGGAGCACACTCCTCAGCTTGCCGCTTACATCTGGTTTTAGTGGCTCAAGAAGTCCAGAAGAGAGAAGGACACGTTTAACCAGCGGACACCTGCAGCTGTTCCAAGGACTGAGCAGTACTTTGGCGGATCCCTGAGCCATAGCAGTGACTTTCCTGTGGCCGATGAGCCACAGGCACGGCCCCTGTATCACTGCAGGTCCCTGTGAAGTTTTGCTCCAGTAGGAACACCTCATGTAGGTGGTGCTGGAGTTTTGGACCTGTTCTGCAGCTTCAGTGAAAACAGCATTTCCCCTTCCCATCCTCAAGCCCACCACCCAGGAAGCTGGGATGCTCCTCCCAAGCTGTGAGGCCTCCCCTGCCTCAACTGCCTGCATGGTGCCTCCTTGTAGAAACACGGACCTCCACAGAACAACCCAAGTCTCTCAGAACTCCTTCTAGAGGCAGAGCTGTATGGCCACATCACCAGAGGAACCTCCCCACAAGCACAGAGTGTTTTACCAACAAAGGCTTTCACATAATAAAGTAGCAAGCAACATAATCAGTGGTTTTATCACAATTTCCCAATGAAAGGGCTTACAGGAAGACGCCTTTAGCACAATGGAAGATGTCTTTATTTTGATGCAGTTTAAGTGTCATTGCTCGAAATTGCTCTCCCAAGGTGATGCACAGATGTGTGGCCAATACCTCCAGAGCTCACTCTTCTCCATATGAGCTGGCAACTGGAGCAGCACCCCCATCAGCTTCACCCCTTTTCCTGAAGGTCCAAGCAGGACGCAGAGCTGTTTCTGGACACTGAGTCTATACCAGCTCCCCAACCCATCCTTCTCACCAAGATTTCTGTGAAGGATGGCTCAGTTACCTGCAAAGCAGCTCCTGAATCACAGCATTTCATAAACTTACATAGGAAGGCAAGCCAAAGTCAGGGGCAGTGCCCCTTAATAAACTGAGGCAGGTCAGCAGCTGGTTTTCAGGCAGCAGAGATACCCTCACAGTAGCATAAGCCAACCTCACACACCATTCACCCTATCTTCAGTGGAAGCAGCAGCCAGCATGAGAAAAGATGGCTCCTTGAGCTGTTCCAACTATCCACACACCAGTACAGAAGGCATCCCAAGGGAGCAGAAATACCTTAACTGAAAAGGAAGTACAAGGCAGCTTGGAGACGGCATCTCAAGAAATCTGGGTAGCACAAACCAGAACCAGCAACAGCAGTGCCCAGGACTAAGCTGGGAGGTCTGACAAGTACCTAGAGAGAGCTGGTGTGGGCATGCTGTGTAAGAAAAGTAGCAGAAAAATGAGACAGAGTTGAGCTGAGTTTCTTGAACCCACAGGTTTCCTCTGTAGCCCTGATATAACAGAGGACACATGTGCAGAAGGCCACGATGGTGGTCACCTACACATATAAAAATGAGCCGTTGCTTCTAAGGAGAGTCACCCACTGCCACCTCCACGTCAAGTCAGTCACACAATTCTTTCACCCTGCACTGCAGGCAGAATAAAGTGTGTCAGTGGCAAAATGTGTAGTGATCTTTCTCCCAGAAAGCAGATTGTCTGAGTCCCAGGGAATGACCCTCATCACTGTTGGGAGGTGATATGAGGGATACATGGGGTGGTGTGAAAAACACTGGGTACCTGAATACATGAATTTACTTCAGTAAGGGAAGTTTAGAACACTGAATTAAAAAAAAAAAAAAAGTTTAGGAAACAACTTTAGGGACACTGCAGTCAAACTTCTGAGCCACAGACTTTTTGCAGCTCGGGAAAAGATTCCTACTTAGGTCCAGTTTCGAATCTATTTTTCGAAGATGTCAAGCTCTCTAAAGACATTATTGTCATAGCTCATCACCATCCAAATCCATTTAAAGCTTAAGTTGGAGCAAGAGCAAGCAACTGCTATGCTACCTGCTTACTATTTTTCCTCCAGCAGCTATCAAGGTAATTACCAAGACTTGTTTTCTGACCTGCATTGTTAAGGACAGGAGAGGTACTGCAGTCACCAAAACACCCAGACAAAACCAAACCTCAAACCAAATCGAAACTCACTTGGAAAACAGACCATAAAAATGTTGCAGCATCTTAAGCTTGACAGTCTAAAAGGAGGCAATTATTAACTTAAACAGCAGCTTTCCCTCTAAGACTGAATGTCCCAGGAATTGGCTCAACATGAAAATTTATTGTTGCAACTCAGTTCAGATTAGGCAAGTTAAACATACAGACCTGGGAGGCTGCTATCAGAGCTCGGGAGCCATAGGGAGTGGCCAGGACTGACCTCGAGATCTGCAGAGAGCAGAACACACTACGGGCTGTAGCCTGCCATGTCTGTAGCTGGCACTGGAGCGTTTGCGGCATTAGCCAGCGTGAGGATGACAGCTGCTCTTTAAGCATTCCAATCTCTGCCCCGAACCAGTCACGATGCTCTTTTTCTCTCCATCTTGGCCCTACTCCCCTGAGCCCTCCTCAAAGGCAAACGGGCAGAGGCAAAGTGATGTTTTCCATGTTCTCTTCTCCCTCCTTGCATCTGTCCATTCCTCCACTCATGCAGCTCAACGGTATTCCTCAAAGGCACAGACATAACGGACATATCAAGATGAGGTGGGCTTCTTCAAGCTATTTAAGCCTTCCTCAGGTTCAGCCCAGTGCATTCAAGTAACAAAGCATGCAATTAACTGGAAAATAAGTGGTTTTTAATGGCTTCACTAGTAACAAGAGCCACTCAACTACTGGATAGCACTTCTAATGTCTCCATACATATACCTATAAATACAGTACGGTGCATTGGGTTTGCGTGGCAAGGTTTTGATAGCAGGGAGGCTGCAGGGAGTGGCTTCTGTGAGAAGCTGTTGGAAGGTTCCCCTGTGTCCAGCAGAGCCAATGCCAGACAGCTCCAACGTGGACCCACCCCTGGCCAAAGCCGAGACCATCAGCAACAGTGGTAGCACCTTGGGGATAACATGTTTAAGAAGGGCAGGAGCAAAAAAATGAACTGCACAAGAGCAACTGCAGCCAGAGAGGAGTGAGAATCTGTGAGAAACAACTCTGCAGACACCCAGGTCAGTCAAGGAGTGGGAGGAGGTGCTCCAGGCACCAGAGCAGAGATTCTCCTGCACTCACAGCCCCTGGTGAAGACCACGGTGAGGCAGGCTGTGCCTCTGAAGCCCAGGGAGGTCCATGGTGGAGCAGATCTCCATCTGCAGCCTGTGGAGGACACAGGAGCAGGCGGATGCCTGAAGGAGGCTGGGACCCCATGGGGGACCCACACTGGAGCAGGGTCCTGGCAGGACCTGTCACCCCATGGAGAGAGGAGCCCATGCTGGAGGTTTGGGATTTGTGATCCCGTGGGGGACCCACACTGGAGCAGTTCATGAACAACTGTAGCCGGTGGGAAGGACTCACGATGGAGAAGTTCATGGAGAACAGGCTCCTGAGGGAGAGAACCCGCACTGGGGCAGGGGAAGAGTCTGAGGAGTCTTCCCCCTGAGGAGGAAGGAGCAGCAGAGACAACATGTGATGAACTGACCATAACCCCCATTCCTCATCCTCCTGCACCACTGGGAGCAGAGGAGGTAAAGAAAATAAGGAGTAAAGTTGTGCCTGGGAACAAGGGAGAGGTTGGGGGAAGGTGTTTTTATTACTTTATTTCTCATTATCCTACTGTGATTTGATTGGCAACAAATTAAATTAATTTCCCCATGTCAAGTCTGTTTTGCCTGTGATGGTAATTGGTGAGTGATCTCTCCCTGTCCTTATCTCAACCCATGAGCCTTTCATTGTATTTTCTCTCCCCTGTCCAGCCGATGGGGGAAGTGATAGAGTGGCTTTGGGGGGCATCTGGCATCCAGCCAGGGTCAACCCGCCACATACAACAAGACAAACAGGACTTTATGCAGAAAGACGAATATGATTCTCTGTTATCACCTCTTTATTGTTAAAAGGTCCAATCCTGACAGTAGGGGAAAAAAAACGATGTTTCACAAGGACAACAGGAAGTAGCTTCTACTGGTCTTTCAATTCCTTCAGTCTTCTGATGGCAGATTTGACTGTCACTGCAGAGGTGGTACTGCAAGAAGAAACAGTCATTGCACATGACAGTAGAACAACCCATGCCAGTGTTACTTTTTGAGAAAGCACTAATCATTTCAAATAGTTATCGTCTGATTGCATTGTCAACAGGGGACTAATTCCACTTTGATTTTCATGACAACAAAGCGTAGGCCTTTGTCTACAGAGGCACACGCAACTTCACAAGCTACATCTCAACCCAATTATCCAGTCGTGCATCGACTACACACACAGGTGCGTGGGCTCACACTCCCAGCGACTGTTACGCGTGGGGCAACAGTGTCTCCTACTAGAACTGGGAAGGAAGGAGAATAAAGGAGTAAGCAAGGGCACCATCACAATAAGGACTATAACGATTCAGTGCTTTTAAAACAAAAACAAAACATGGAAATAATTTTTATTGGTGTAAACCTGGTTTTGCCTATTGTATCTGTGTCTCTGAACTGAAGAGGCGGGGGTAGTAACCACACAAAAAGGCTGCTTAGGCTTTGAAAGAAAAGAGTTCTCTTACACAACTGAGATTTTTATATAGTCAAAAGAATCAAGGAAGGAAAAATAATCCCTAGGTCCAACAAATAATTTATTAGAAACTACTGAAGCTCTTTTTAGAATGGGTCAAAGGAACATCTGTCAGGTGACATCCACACAGACAGCTCCACCCTGAAATGGCTGGGTGAACCACCATTCTCTCTGATTCTTTTCTTCCAACATCACAAAAAACTGGCCCAAGCACAATACCTCTTACAAGCAACAACTGTACTTCACTTCTCCAGTAAGAAGTGGCACTACAGCCAAGGAACAAAAGAGACAAATTAAATTATGTTTCAGCATTTGCACATGTTTCTTTCCTTAAAAGTTCGGTAAAAGATACAGAGCTCAAATTTTTGAAGAATAAAACAACTGCTTTGATAAATCCCAGAGAGATAAAAGAAATTTTGCAGGGACCCACCAAAACCAGCAGCAGTAATATGATGGATAAACCGCAATATTCACAGTAGCTGCACAACAGATACTGTAAAGAATAGCAATCAAATCCAATTTGATCAATTCCAATCAAATTTTAACAATGAAGGCAAAAACCAACCACATATCACTAACTCAAGACAGACATACTTAATGGTTAGTAGATTAAAAAAAAAAAAAAAAAAAAAAAAAAGCTATATTATGCTGCAGCTATGTGAGAATAAATGCTGATAGGAGCTTCTTCACTTCCTTACTTGTAAGTCCAGGCACCACCAGCAACTGTCTTCATGCAGGACCCACAGTGCCAGATACCCACAGCCTTCCTCTTCATTTTGGTCTGCAATAAAAAAATAAAAAGGGGGAAAAAAAAAAAAATGCACTCTCCATTAGCTGAAAAAGCCGAACAACAAACTTCAGGCAAGGGCTTCAGCATCACACCCCAGCGCTACCTATAAGCCTAGTGAAGACAGGCAAGGATCAGGGAATGTTTTTATTCAGATTCTTCAGAACAGGTAAAGTCCTTCTGAAACACTTTTTCATTTAAGATATGAAGTGAGTCATTTCTAAGTGCATAATCAAGAATTCATCTCCTTTTGAAAGAGAAAAATAGTAAGGAGTTACACTGGTCATAATAACTGATATTCTCACCTGGTTTGATGACCGATGTAACACTACTGGTATTAGTGCTCTCCAGACATCTCCAGATTGCTCTAACCAGACCCCTTTAAACATCAGCCAAAGAGTGAGTGGTGGGCACTAGAACTCCTTTCCTCCGGGAAAGTCTCCATCACCTTGCAAAGATGACAAAGGGTTTGCCTAGACCTATCCTGGATTTAAAGAGTTCTGCAAATGGGGTTACCAACATCCTCACTTCACGTGAAAGATGCTAAATACAAAAAAACCCCAACAGAAATCTTTTTAGATTTCCAGCCACTTAAAGATACCTACTTTACAGATACCAGTTAAAACTATCTTGTCAAAGAACAAGCTGATGGGCCTGTCAAAAACCAGATTTAAGAGTGAATTTTGGTTATGCACATGAGCAGATAAGATTACTTATCAGAAATTCCTCCCCGTTCAGAGTTACACAGCACACAAATATAGGAGTAAGCAACTGCAATCAAAAGTTTTAAGTGAGAAAAGCAAGCTCTCTTCTTCTTCCAGGTAAGCTGTAAAATTACTGAAGGAAAAAAAAACACCTCAAGTCATGCCTTATTTATCAGGATAACAAGCATGTTGTTTTAACTCTGTCAGGTCTTTTTATTTATTAGATACCTAAAACATAGTACAGCAACATTCCTCGCTATTTTGTGTAATGAAATATAATTTATGTTTGTCTTCATGTAATTAGTACTAAACACGCACATGAAATATCAACTAACTCTGTTTTATCAGGGATTCTGACAGTAGCCTAAAGCTCACAATAAGCTCATCAGCGTCTCAAAACTAACCGAGTTCCCTTCAGCAGATAAATTACCAAAGCATCAAGCTGCACTTCTAGCGTCAGTAACAAAGCTATTTTTAAAGACCCTTTTTAGGGGAGGAGGTGTCTCACCTTGCCACAGAAGGAGCAGGTATACTTGGCGTGCTGGCTAATTTCAATCTTCTTCACCATCTTCCTCAGGGACGCCCCGTAACGGGTCCCGTATTTCCCCACGATCCCAACCTTCTTGGTGCGCTTGGCCTGTCGGGGGGGCCAAGCGGAACACGCTCCGACTTCACGGCGATGGCCGCCTCCCCGCCCGCCCCAGACACCCCAGCAGGGCGCTCAGCACCCGAACCCTCTGCGGGGGCACCGGCCACGCGTGACCCAAGCCCCTTGGGGGCTCGCCGGGCCAGCCCGCTCTGGCACGGAACGCCGCAGCCCCCACTACCCCCTTCCCTCCCGGTACGCCTGGGGGGTCCCTCAGAGCCCCCCCGCCGTTCCCCTCACGCCGGCCATCTCCCGCAGGCCGCGCACCCCGCCTGCTGCGGAGGGGGGGGCACAGCCCACGCAGAGCCCCGGCCCGTGGGCCCTCCCGCTGCGCGCCCTGCCCCTCCCGGGCTGGACGCTACCCCCGCGGCCCCGGCTCGGCGATGGCGGCGGATGGGCCGCGGCGCCCCGGCCCCGCTCACCATCTTGTCGCCCCGCGCCGGCGCTGAGAGAGGAACCGCCCACTGCGCAGGCGCGGGAGCAGCCGCCGCCGCCGCCGGAAGTGAGCGGATGGGACGCGGAGCGCGTCTCTCTCTGCGCCGTGGCGGTCCGCCGCTCTATGGTCGCGCTGCATATTCCGTATATTTATCCCGTGACAACAGGAGGGTCTAACGCCTAAAGCGCACGGAGCGGAACGCTGGGGCGGCTTGGGGGTGGAAAAAAAAGCTCACAAAGCGCCATGTATCGGCGTGAAACCCAAGCGGTACATCAACCCCAGCAGTGCTGACTGGAGATGTAGGGCAAGAGCTCAAGATTCCTGGATTTCCACCCAAGGAGGTCACGCCAGGAAAGGTGATGGAGCAGTTATGTTCACTCACCTCATTTTTAAAGAGAATTAGTAGTAGGTGGATGTCGGAATTAAAAAAAAGGAACAGCAAACCACACTAGAGTTCCAGAAGGGGTAAATAAATAAATAAATAAATGGTTATATATAGATGTATTAAAAAAAAAAAAAAAAAGAGGATGAATTCTAAACTTAAGACATACCAGTCTTAAGCCCAGAGGCTTCAAGATAACCCAATCAAGTGCCACCACAGCATCTGCCCAATTTCTTGGGGTCATCCAGTGATGAGACAGCCAGCTGTGACGTCCAGGGCACCCGCACCCAGCCTGGGTGAGCAAAACACCTACCAACGCTGCTGAGGGGCAATTTTTGTAACAGAATTAACAACCCCTTAACCTCCATTAAGGAATGTGGCCTGGTTAGCCAGGAAGATTTTCCGTGCACAGAGCCAGCTGCAGCTCACCCCCTCCCACCAGGAGAAAACACCCTTATGCACTTTTTGCAGGTGCTTTTCCTCCTGTAACAGCCCCATAGGCACCCCAGAGACTCAACCCATGACAGCTCTCCTCTTCATTTACAGTCTATTTAATAAGGAATTAACAACTAGAGAATACCCTGCTGCTATGTTGGCATTTCCCTGGCTGGGGTCTGTCCTTTCAGAGGTGCTCGTGGAATGATGCTACATGCCTGCTCGGCTCTTGCTCTGACGGTTTGAACACTCACCTTTTTAATTCCCTCTGTCCTGCCAGGCACCCTGTTCCCCAGTTGTCCCTGCAAGTGTTCCTCCCACCTGAGCATGTCCCTCCTGGGAGCAGGTGGGCCAGAGCCCTGTTCCACATGAGGACTCAGCAGGGCTTTAGGCAACAGTATTTATATCTCCCTCTGTTGAGTCAAAATTTCATTTAATATATTCCTAGGGTATATTTGCCCTTTTCAGATTCTCATCATAAGGATGACTCACAGAATACAGCTTTGATACCAGCGTAATAAACAAATAATAAAAAAAAAAGTTCTTTTGGCTGCTTTGTGACTATTTGGTTAAAAATAATAATAAAAATTGTCAGCCAACACATCCAGGACAGAGGATCTACTGCTATTCTCCAGTCTGCATGTGCAGAGCTAAAGTTTGCTGTGACAGTACAGAGCATGGTCATGCTCTTCATCTACCAGTATTACAGACAGCTCTGCCAGCAACCAAACCCAACTCAGATGACAGCCCTTCCCAGCACTGCCAAAATAAGAATGCCTTTTCAAGTGACTGAGAAGATGGATGGATGCAGACAGGCCAGCAAGCTCCAGAAGCCTTGCCTTGGCAGTCCCCACCTTGGACTCTTCCACATGCTCCAGGCTGGCCAGCTTCCTTGTGCTGCAGATGTAATTTGAACTGCTCCATTTTACTGTTCAGGTATTTTTACCTCTTACTTTTGGTCTGGCATCTTTCCTGAAAACATGCCTTTCTCTAACATGGGGGAGAGCACACACACAGGTGTACAAGTAGGCATCCAGTAAGATGCTCCAAGATATGTAAGATGGGACCTTCCCTTTACTAGGCTTTAGATAATGCTAAAAAGTTACAGCTATACCATCTTCAATGGACAGGTGTAATACTCCAAGAGCACTGCCTGTGGGTCTCGTGGGCAACCTGCACACTGCCTTGTACAAATTCTCATCAGCAAGCCTTGGAGATCCTGCCTGAGCAGGCTGGCAGCTTCCCAGCCACCTCCTCATCACATTCATGACGGACTGATAGTATAATTGGGCTAAGGCCTGCACAGTCTTTCCAGTCCCTTGATGTAATGACTAAAAGCACTTTCCTGCAAGATTCTTTTCCCCTTTTTCATCTAGTAAGGATAAAGTGAACCTCAAGTGTTATTTGAAGAGCCTCTGTAACTGCAGCAAACTAGCTGAGATTTTAGGAGTCCTAACAAAGAGTACATCTAGCATTCCTCTAACAGGGCTGGGATTTATCAATATATGGATCAGATAAATTGAGTTTGAGAAGCAGAATTCTCCAACAGTACTTTCAGCAGATTTCAGAAAAATACGGTTTTGACATAGCTGTAGCTTTACAAGGAGTTAGAGAATTACTCCTATAGGAGATGACAAATATGAGTATACAAATAATGTCTTCCATGTTTTTTTTCAGTAGGCGGACAGCAACATATCTCATCCCTTACTCAGAACAACCCTCTCAGCAAGCAGAAAGATCACATGTCCTAGAAACAGATTAAGTACTCTGTGTTCAAGATGACAGACATTTAAAAATGTCCAAAACTCCTGGCCAGTTGTTGGAGCAAGAGAAATGATGTTTAGCTCTTGGTCTCAAATCCAGAGATAAAGCATTTCCTCCGGTTGGCCAGTCACACGATCCTCAGTCCCCCTCCTCTTCACTTGCACACACACCAAAGCACCTCTGCAGCCAGGAATGAAAAGCGAGTCTCCACCCAGCACAACTGCATACACAGCCTGTAGGGCATTTCCATGACGACACTTGCTGAAAATGGGATAATCAAACCCTTCCATGCAGGAAAAAATATCCCAGCTATTATCAGGCTGATCTTGTAGCACAAACTTTTTCCTCCTCGACCATGCAAGAGAGATCTTTTCATCAGTGTCTAGTATCTGCACACAGCCAAGCACGCTGCCTGCACAGCATGTTAGCTCCTACCTCCAGAAGATAAATGTAAGCCTTCAGTTTGCTTTTCCCCCACTCTACTCTATAGATTATGGCTATAAAACACAGCTAACTGGCACCCCTGAAATGGTATCTTCTCCTGTACTCCCTGGTCACGTTTGCTTAACGTAAGTATTTTTGAGTACTAAGACCAGAAGGGACCAAAGAGCAGGTTTGCTCAGGTGGCACCAAGGCTGGGAGTCCAGGTCTCCCAGTTCACGGTGCTGAGACCATGACACAGACTACCACAAGTCAAAAATAGGCATTTTAATCACCGTATCAAGCAACAGTGCTGCTTTTGGCATTCTCAGTGTAACCTGCACAGAGCTGTAATGGGAGCAAACAACAGGTCCTAGGGAAGCAGCCCAAACCTCTTATGGAATTAGCTGTTGATTCATCTATAAGCAAAGTATCATGGAAGTTTCCCTTTGATGAGGTTCTAGAAAGCACAAAAGGAAGTATCCCCCAAAAGACCTATCTTTCAGCCATTGTAAATACTTCAAAAAAGACTAATATTTCCATTGCATTGCATATTTCTCAAGCTTAGGGTCCAAATGGGAGATGAAATTCTAAAATAGAAAAAGTACCAAAAGCTTGGGAACCATGACTTAAAACAACTTTTTATTTAAAAAGCTCAGTCCAGGACCAGTTTCTTACAAAACAAGAGCAAAAGTCTGCACATGTCTCCTTCTCCTCACTCATCTGTGGAAATCAGTCTTGTGTCTTGAAGAACACACACACACACACATCATCCCCCTTCCTGAACAGCCAAGCTTAATCCCTGGCAGTCAGCACAAGCTTCACCCTCTACAGACACAAGAGGCATGTGTCATGGAGCAGGTACTGAGATTTAGCAGAGGCCAGAGATCAGTGTGCTCAGACAGACACGTGCCTAACAGGCAATACACACCTCCTGGAAGACTACTAAGTTATACTATTTAGTTTCAAGGTACTGACTGCTCTGCACAAACAAAAATCTGGGGCTCTCTTTCCTCTCCCCACTTCTATAAAACATCAAGATCTGTCTGGATCTTTTATCCTAACTGCCAAACTGAATACCAGAGCCAGTCTGCGACAAGCAAGGGACAAATTTTGCCAGTGAAGTGATTCCTACAAACTAATAGTCTTGGAGATGGAAGACTGATTGTTAAAAGCACTCTACAGTTGCCGAGAAGTTAGTTTTCACAACAGTCCTGCCTTGTGGACAGACAACCATTACCTGCTTTCTAAACACAAGAGCTGTGGAAGATGACATGCTGAAATAAAGCAGCATGCTACCTGCCCGTGGCCATTCAGTCTTTAGCCAAACCAGGACTGCAAAACATGCAGGCTGCCAGGTGTGCGCTGCTCATCTGTCACACTGTCAGTTTGCCTTCTCATCCTTTGAGATGAAATGCACTAGATACAAAAAACTTAAGTCTTTTATTTCTGAAAACTCAAAAAATATAATACTTGATTGCTTTTGTTTTCTCTTTTTTAATAAAAAAATATCTTAGCCACCATCTCTTTTGCTGTCACCATTACACTTTAAAAAACTCCTCAATACGCCGCTTTTTGGGGGGACTCACTGAACGTGTATCTCCTCCCGTATCTTGCAAGGCACTGCCAGAGTCAAATTCGCAGCAAGCATCAGCTGCCTCCAAAAGCAAAGCTTCATCAGCGTCATCCCTGCTCTCAGAGAAGGTCCTCTGGAAAAGGTCATAGATGGTCTTCTGCTTTGGGTCTGGCTGAAAAATTTGAACAGACAGAATCTGCACACATGTTGTCATATAAAAAACAAGTGAGCAACAGAGGGGACTCCCCATGGGACAGTGCCTATGTGTGTATATATTGTATGATAGATATATCATACGTACAGATATATACACATGTATCTCAGACATATATATGCTATGGAGGCTATCACATCTCCTTGAACACAGCACATTTGGGACCTCTGTGGAGAGTCCAAGTCAAGACATGGATCCTGGGAGGAGTTGGGAGAATCTGGTCTGTGGCATTAAAGGCAGAACAGATGTAAAGTCAGCCTGCCAGTCACCTGCCAATCTAGATGTACACAAGCCAAAGCCCATTCAGCCCTTCCCAGGGACCACTGATACTCTTTCAGGTCAATTACCTTAGGGCAGTAATTAGTGGATTCAGCTGTTTTGGAGAAATTGGTTTCTGAAAGACCAGCTTCCCCCAGCACCTTGATTTTCTCTTCAATCATTGGCCTAGGAGAGGTAAGCAGATATTACTGAAAGGAAGAGAATACCATGAAAGGACACTTTGCCATTTACTATGTGTAGATGAAAAAAAAGATATAACAGCGATATAAAGATGGCTTTTCAACCAAAGTTTGTTAGTTCCTTAACCTGTCCTGCTCTTGTTTATAACTGTATGCTGTCTTGGGATATCACTCAATACAATTTAGATAAATATCAATCTTTATTGGGTTTGCCTGGCAAGGCTTTGCTAGTGGGGTGGCTTCTGTGAGAAGCTTTTAGAAGGTTCCCCTGTGTCCAGCAGAGCCAATGCCAGACAGCTCCAAGATGGACCCACCCCGGCCAAAGCCAAGACCATCAGCAACAGTGGTAACACCTTGGGGATAACATGTTTAAGAAGGGGGGGCGGGGGGAGTGAAAAAAAGCTGCACAAGAGCAACTGCAGCCAGAGAGAGGAGTGAGAATCTGTGAAACAACTCTGCAGACACCCAGGTCAGTCAAGGAGTGGGAGGAGGTGCTCCAGGCACCAGAGCAGAGATTCTCCTGCATTCACAGCCCCTGGTGAAGACCACGGTGAGGCAGGCTGTGCCTCTGAAGCCCAGGGAGGTCCATGGTGGAGCAGATCTCCATCTGCAGCCTGTGGAGGACACAGGAGCAGGCGGATATGCCTGAAGGAGGCTGGGACCCCATGGGGGACCCACACTGGAGCAGGGTCCTGGCAGGACCTGTCACCCCATGGAGAGAGGAGCCCATGGCGGAGGTTTGCTGGCAGGACTTGTGATCCCATGGGGGACCCACACTAGAGCAGTTCATGAAGGACTGTCTCCTGAGGGAGAGAACCCACACTGGAGCAGGGGAAGTGTGTGAGGAGTCTTCCCCCTGAGGAGGAAGGAGCAGCAGAGACATGGGATTAACTGACCACAACCCCATTCCCTGTCCTCCTGCAGAACAGCAAGAGAGAAGGTGGAGAAAATAAGGAGTAAAGTTGTACCTGGAAAGAAGGGAGGGGTGGAGGGATAGTGTTTTTCGAATTTGTTTGTATTTCTCATTATCCTACTCTTGATTTGATTGATAATAAATTAAACTGATTTCCCCAAGTCAAGCCTCGTTTGCTTATGGGGGTAATTGGTGAGTGATCTCTCCCTGTCCTTATCTCAACCCACGAGCCTTTTGTTGTATTTTTCTCTCCCCTGTCCAATTGAGGAGGAGTGACAGAGCAGCTTTGGTGGGCACGTAGTGTCCAGCCAGGATCAACCCACCACACAACCCAATTTAATTAAGTAACAAGAAGAGTATTTCAAGCCATAAATATCTGGAAAACACACACATCCAATAGGGAGGCTAGTTGACTGAGACAACACCAACAGTATGAAGTCAGAACAAGAAGATGCAGCTCAAGGGAGTCCCAACAGCCTGTGTGTTCAGTTTCCAAGGGAAGTAACTGTAAGCTCCCCCAAAAGACACATCAGCCTTTCTAGGGTATCTCCTGATGTACTGCGGCAGGAAGAATCCACCACTGGCCAAAGAGTCTGAGAGGTCCCAACAGCACCTGCAAACTAGACACTTTGAAAGAAGCAAAGGCCACAGCACAATTAACGCATTTACTAAAAAGCCTTGTTGTCTTGTTCTTTTTCTCGCCTTTAAAAAGGATGACACTGTCCTTCTTTGAAGAGACATATTTCATTCCCATTAATCATTAATGACCGCATGGACAGCATTTCACAAATAAAGGCAGAATTACTATCATTAAGTTTCCATGAAATGTGGGTGATGCATCAGTTTCCAGATCCCTGCATTGTAGGGTTATAATTATTTGCCATCATGATATTCTGGGAACTGTACAAGTTCACTTAGTTCATTTGTTCCTTTAAACAAGGTAATAAAGATGTCATTTTGGACTTTAAATGAACCAGCTGGTGGATAATTTCTTCTCATCATTCACAGGTCAGTTCTCTTGCAGCACTAAGGATTCCTCAGATCCTCCCCTTCCCCAGGATGTTACTCACCAGCACTAAGGACCAGTGTCCACCGATAGCTCTCGCTGCAGCCAAAAAGGCTCAGACCACAACTCTCCAGAGTAGCACATTTTTATCTATCCAAAGGGCTCACTGAAGAGCAAGAAGAAAGCAACAGTGCAGTCCTCCTCCACAGCTCCCTGTCCAAGCACTCAGCAGACAGATTGCTCCTCAGACTCGATCCACAATACAATGAACCATTCCAGTGCCTACTGACTTTTCTTGAAAGTACTCAGCACTTTACAGTACCCCAGCACACTAATGTTCTGGGCTGTATCTAAGACAATTCCTTCTCCTTATACAGAGGCTGTGAAGGTTTTAGATGCACCAACTCTCCCAGAATTTCTCTCAAAAGCCCTTTCTTTGTCAGATAACTACTTTTACTCCTCCTGCTTGTCATCCACTTAACTTACGTCCACTGTGGCCAGGCCATGTCACCAGCTCACAGCAGCCCTGATTGGTAGTTACTGCTCCGCCCCTCACAGGCTGTGGAAATCAGCACTAGCATTAAGCACCTTACATCACCTATGTGACAAACAGTGAAAACGGGTGGCAGGAGAACCAATGTGTCTTTCTCACTTCCTACCATAAGTAGTCATCTGCTGTGCCTTTAGCCACCACGTAGTGAACATTAACGGAACTGGTCTGTCCAATTCGATGTGCCCGATCTTCTGCTTGAATCAAAACCTTTAAATAAAAACAGAGAAAAAGTGAGAATGGCAACATCTATGAAATATCATAAGGACCAGAGAAGAGAGATCTTGTTTCTTGTGCTTAGTGACTATTTCTCATCTGGGTCCTGTTAACATCTGCATCCTCACAGACTAAGCCAAGAAGTAATCTGGTGTACCAAGTTCCCAAAAGACACTGAGCATTTTTCAGAAGTAGAGGGTCAGCACTGACGATGGACCCTTTCAAGTCTTGGCTGGACAAGTGGTTGAGAGCTCTGTCAACTTAAGAAACAGGAACATGTTTCTCTTTCATGCCATCTTCTCCAGCCAGCAAGCTGTGTAACCAGCCCCACTGGTTCAAGCCCAGGCACCTGGGGGTGCGCAGACAAGTAGCCATCAGAGAAAGAAAGAAAAACCCCAGAGAAAGACCCCTGCCCATTACATCTCCTCCTAAGCACCAATATTTCTGCTCTCCAGGGAGCATCCAGCCCTTGTCCTCTCCAGAATACATACCCCTGGGTTCCAGAAGAGCTCTGCAAACACCACCAAGTCCGCAGCAGACAGTGTCAGCCCCATGTTTGCAGCAGTGAGGGACAGGACAGCCACAACCTGCTTCTCTGAGTACTGGAACTTCTGGCACAGAGCGTGCCGCTCAGCTGAAGGTGTGGAGCCATCAATGCGAATGTATTCAACATGCTGTGAAAAGGCAGAAGATGGTATTTTTAGAGGCCGTGTCCCCTTTCCTGTATCCTTCTTCCATATAAGTGGATTCTGTTTCCCTTCTCTGTGGTAGAACCAGGAAAGTAAAAAGGCAACAGCTGTATTTTTAAAACCTTTCATCTTTAAGTCAGAGGCACTGTAATTCAGCACATAATGTACCTCCCCTCTGCTCACAATGCGTGACTTGTTCGTAAGTCCACTGCTCTCCTAATAGTCCTGAGCAAGAGCAAGGACAGCAACAAGCTGGCAACTCAAGTACAGTGAAAAGGCACCTGGCTTGATCTGAAGCTGAACACTGTCTCTGTGCTGATGTTACAGCTACTTAACCTCCCCAGCCTCCTTAAGTCTTCCTCTATTTGTGATGGGAGGAGATGGGATCCTACACATCAGTTGCTCTGTGGTAGGCTGAGGAAAGGCATGACAAACATGAGTGATGCAGGACCATACCTCTTCAGTGTCCAACCTCCTTGCTCTCCTGGAGGATGTTGCCACAGAGGCAGCAAAGTCAACACCGCCACTGTGGTTTATAGTTTGGAATATTAACTTAAACCATCCTTCATACTGCCCCAGCATGACCCAGAACTCTTTAGGAGCATCCATGGATGTCTCGCATGAGTAATTAACCAAAAACTTTTGAAGTCGTAGAGATGATTGGCAGGTCTATCAAGCCTCCCTACAGTATCCAAGTTCAAAAATGTAAGAGCACCACAAAGATAAAGGCAGGCAGCCATAGCTGGACTTGCATTGTTACATTCTCCCCCTCTGATGACAACCTGGAGGACAAAGAAATGGCCACACATGGTAACACTCCTCTGAATTCACAAGCTGTAAGGGCACACGATGGAGATTAAAGAACATTAAATACAACAAAAGCCATTCAGCTAATACAAAGTGCATCCTGCAAGGCATTCACCCTGACAGCTCAGCTCCCTTAGTGGAGAGCATTCAAGAGTACAGCAAGTAAAAATTATCTCTGCCATGAACTGCCATAAACTTTCTGACCAGCCATAACTCTGGGGAGCTCTTAAACAGCTTTGAAACTGGTATAGTGATAAAGTTAAGATGACTCAGTCACTTACTTTATTTTCCAGCTTCGCAACTATTGCATCCAGCACTATCTTGTGATGAGCAAAGACCAAGAATTTATCATTCCCACTCTCCAGTAACTCCAGGATGTATTCTCTACATGAAAGAGGGGAAAAAAACCCCAAACTGTATAAGATTATATGCTGAAAGAATCTGGGCTTTGCTCACAACAAATTTTAAAGATACTGCTTATCTATACATAGAAACTAGGAAATAGGCTAGTATAAAAAGGTTGCTGTAAAACACTAGTAGCAAGTCACGTCTCCTACAGGTTCAAAAAAGACATTGCAGGAAAATCCACTCATTTTTCTTTACTGCACTTGGACAGCTGCCTACATTTTTACTTGGGTATCACTGCAAATCAATTTGTTATATGATACTTGAAACATGACATCCCAGACCAATCAAAGGGAAGTCATATGTATGTATTTAATGACCTCACTCATTCTTCTGTACTTTTGCACAGTCACAATATGCTGAAATAATCTGTATATAATTATCCTTTCTATATTTACTTAGGACTTTTAGAAGAAGTCTCAAAATGCATGGATTGGAACATCCTAAAAGTAGCTTTTCCTGCAAGGGTTCACACTGTCAATTTACTACAGCTTAACAATCTAAATATAGCAGCTATTTCTAGGAATAATCCATATGCAATGAAAGGTAACAAGACTCCTTTGAAACGCACTTAAACAGTGTTAATTGAATGAAAACATCTGGCTTTTGCATCGACCAATAGCAGAGCTACATAACTCATTTTTATGTAGTGACTTGTGCTACAATCAGGTCAACTGGAGTCTGAAGAACACCTATAAGCCTAAAATTTGTAACTAAGTATAGCAACAGCCATCAGAACAGATGATAAAAATGTCATATTTTCTCTGGAATAGCAAAGTTGTTGCGAAAACCAGGAATACCAAGTTCTTCACTACATACAACACAGCTTAGGTCAGCAGCAACTGTCAGAAAACACCAAGCAGGATTTCCAGTGCTGTATTAAGACGTATCAGTGCTTTGCAGACAGCTCCCGGGGTTCGTGACATTCAGATCCCAATTTTGTGACAAAGGAATTTAACAAAGAAATCTCGGAGAGAAGTGGGATTGCTGGATTTTAAAACAAATATCAAAGCGAACATTCAGTGTAGCATGCAGGCAGGTGCCAACACATCACAATTATTTTATATTTCATTCCCTTATTCCCATATTCCATTTAACAACTGGCTAGTCATTTGAACAGAAGCAATGGAAGACACTGTCATGAAGAGTAAGACATGGGAGGTGCTGATAATCATAGGACAGTACCATTAGCTAGATGTTACTGTACATTAGCAGCTTATAGTAAGTGGTATTTTAAATGCTACTGAACCCAGGAAAAGAAATGGACTAGTTCCTACCAGAGAGTCAAATAAACAGCACTTCATGGGTTTGCATTCAGTTCACACTTGCGACTGAAATAAAAGGAAGAAAGTCTAACTGTTCACTAACATAAAAGGAAGAAGCTCTTCTACAGAAATGAGCGCTGGGACTCTGAAGGGCAGTTCTGTGCCGAACAGGCAAATTCTGCAGCAAGGTCTGAGACTCTGAAATCACACGGTGCACATCAGCTGGTCCTTACATTCAGAGCTGCAGAGAAGTAAACTGTTTTCATGTTATTAGCATACTCCTTATTAAAAAGTCATGCTATATGACCTAAAGCAACTCTTTTGCGGTTCCAGCAGAAAGGCTAAGGCTGAAAGGGCATGGAAAGTCACAGAAGGAAGCTATTCCTAGGAAGAGAGAGTTAAAAGCACACCTATTATAGAAAACTTTTGCTACTGAGGTCCCATGTGGGCTCTGTGGAAGAGCCAAGAACGTCAGTAGAGGCTGTGGCATCCTTAGAGCATGCTACAAACTAAAGCTCAATCCATCCCAAAAGCTTTTTGGCTCAGGGTTCCTGATGCAGTAGGACTGCAATATTTGTTTTCTCAAATTCTGTTGATGCTTTTAGTTTCATTACTCCCCCTCTGCTTAAACTGAAATAAGGTCCGGACCAGGGAACTTGATCTAAGCCCCAAACACCAAGTAATTTTAGATGGTTCAAATGACAGTTTAAATCCATATCTGCAATGAAATCAGAATCCTCATTCAGCCTAGGAACTCCGAGAAGAAATGTTTAGTGCATTGTAATTAAAATCAATTTTTTTCTAAGCTGGCTTGAGGCTATGCTTCATGTCCCCACACTTATCTCTAAGGCACCATTTTCCTCTTCTCAGTGGAAAAAAAACCATTTTACTAGGCAAGAATGAAGCAGTGACATGCAGCTTACACGACTGAGTGGATTTTAGCTTCTGCCGTTCTGCTGTAGAAGAGGAGAAGAGCTTCTTTCTCCTGTTGTTTCTGCAGAGAGAAAGATAAACAAATGCAAGTCTCAGAAATGCCTTTTCTCCTTCTTGCTTACAGATCTGGGATGTCTGCTGCTGCCAATAAACACTTTGCTAGGAAAAAAAAATCAGCCTACAAACGCAAAACAAAAGGGGACTGGAGGGGGGGGTCTCCTACTTGCCACTGGGTATGGCAGATACTCACACACTCCTATTTCTGACACCTCCCTTCCTACTTCCTACTCAACTCCTACAAGTTGGATGACAAGCATATCACAAACATAGTTTTAGTTGAGAAAGCATTTCACAACTAAAATGGCAAGGAAAAGCTCTTAAGTTCTTACAGAACTGTATTAGCAACCTAGGAGTCTGGAATATGCATTTGCTATCCATGCAAGAAAAACAAAAAAACCCCAAGAATACACTCTTCACATTTTTGGCTACTGCTGTGTTCACAACACAGCTTCAACAAGGCTGTGTTTGTAGGGTGAATGGGATTACAAGACAAGACAGAAGAGTAAGTAAAGAAGCAGGAGGCACAAAAAGACAATTAGAAAGGACTAAACAGAGAGGGGAAAAAAAGAGAGAGAAAATGGTATTTCACACAAAGGGGCAAAGCAGATCACATAAATCAAAAGGGGAAAAGAGCTGAGCTGTTCTGATTCTGTTGTATATTCATTTAAAGTGGCGCCTTCAATGGCTGTCCACTGTGCCTTCATCTGAGATGTGGCTCTGACCTTCCTTGGAACTCACAATACTGTTTTTCCACTGATGTTTTTAAATAAAGGTATCTGAAATACCAATGGCTCATGATGAAAATAGTTTGACTTACACCTCCATATCCTTTGGCCATCTTCTTTGCTTCAGCTGCCAAGACAGCTTTGGTCTTTGCACTAATGGCTTCAGGAGCCACTACAACCATTTTGCGTTGCTTTGCTGGAAGCTGGGAAAGCACATCTGATTTCAGACGTCGGATCATGATGACCTCTTCCAGCAAAATTTTCAGTTCAGTTAAATTGGATGATCCAGAGTAGTCCCAACCCCATGGCATCTGGGAAACATCAAAGCAGTTATCAGTGTCAAACTTACCAAGACTGGTCTGTAAGCAATCTAAGAATAGAATAAACATCCAGGGAATCAGGGCAAAGCAAGAACTTAATGGTCAGTAGGAAGAGAGATTTGACAAGCATGGCAGTAAGATGGAAGTCTACAAACAAATCCATCCAACATGAGAAGGTTACTTATAAACTTCCCTTTTTCCCATCTACAAGTGCTCAGGGAAGTGCAGGGAAGAAGACTGTGCAGAAGGGTAGGGATCCCTACCACAGCACTGTGCCCTGGTATTCAACCTCACACAGCAAGCTGTTTCTGCTCTCCACCTGCAGCTTTGGGCAGGCCGACAGAACTTGCTGCAGTTCCAGGCACACACATTTATCTCAGTTTTAAGCAGAGACATACACAAAAATCTTTTCTAGCAGCATGAGGAAAAACATCCTTAATCCAAATGCCTTCACAGAGATGCTACACTTGAGTGACATGCCTAGTAAATGCTAGGTCAAAATTGCCTGTTTTCCACTGTGACCTGTCTCTTGATCTGCTTCCTGACATAGTGTTTCTGCCATTACCATGTTTGGCTCTGACTCAAGCAAACCATAAATAAATTGTGGCCCAAAATACATCACTCCAAGCATTGTCTCTTCAAAGCATCATCACTTCAAAGCTCCTCTGAACGAACCCTTCATTTACTTCTCCTTGAAGCACTCGCCTCTGAACCTGCCCTATACTCCAAGATCCTGTGTGCAGAAAATATGTATCTGTTCAATTAATCTCAGCTCACCACTTCTACTAGTAAACCCCACAGTCTGCCTGAGAAAGAAAAACTGAGCTGACAAACAGTGGAATCAAAATCAGTACATTCTCCAAGAAACATCTTTAAGCAACTTTCTTTTAGAGAGGAGACCAATAATGTTTTTACACTGAAGTAAAGGATAAAGAGATACCTCTCTGATGAAGTTTCACAAAAAAGTATATGAAATACAGCTACAGTAATACTGAAAACCAAGGCAAAGGGGAAGGGAAATCATCCTCGCAGCTCTAATTCCAAATCTTACTGGCACTGTCACCAAAAAAAAAGCCAAAAATACAACCTCTGGTCTCAGAAAACCAACCCAAAGTAACCCCCTACTTATGTATATATACACCCTCCTAAAATGCACATAATGGAGATGTGAGAAGCCTCAGCACCACCCCCTTTGATCTGCTGCTCCACTCTCATTGCACTGTATTAATTGCTAAAATAGATTTAACCTTAAATATCTATATATCTTTTATTTGCTTTCCTCAAGAGAAACCTGCTGCAACATAGAAATGGAAGCAAAATAGGAAAAAGCTCTGAAGTATTCACTGCACCTCCATCCTCCTGTAAAATGCATGAGACAAAAAATAAATCAGACCAGCCATGAGGTTAGCCACGTTACTGACTGTACTAAGGGATGGTGCTTTGATGAAACAGGAATGAGAACATGCTATGAGAAAGAAAAAGGAAGAACCAAACAGCTTATAGGCAATTAAGGACTTTCTGATATCTGGAAGTGAACATTCACTTGGAATTCAACCTTCAGGTTGAGACAAAACAGGACAATCTGCAGTTCTGCTGCCACATTGTACTGATGTGAACCATTAACTGACTTCAGAGCCTGGCACTTATGGCCACCATTAAAACTCATTTGACTTAATCTGTTCCTACATAATTATGGTACCATCTGATTATCTATAGTTGGTTCATTAAAGCAAGAAACAATTCAAGCCCTAGACGCAAAGCCAGTTTGGATCCTGTAGAGTTAAAACTCTGGCTTTGACAACAGCACAGTGGTATACAGCTAGAGGTAATAAGCCCACCTGGATCTAAGCCAAGCCCTCAAAAAGCCAACATGTGTATTACTGCTCTGCTTCCCCGAAACCAGAAGTACAATGCAGATATATCCCTGAGGTCCATGAAAAGCTGGCTCAAGTCTAGCTGGGTTTATTAGCTTTATGCTTGCTGCATGAAAGCTGACAGTGTTGAGCCCCAGTCTTTGTGGCCCCCTTCTGCATGGCTTCAGGCTCTTTGGACCCAGCGGAGCAGATGTACAGAACCAGGGAGGACCCACCTGGTGCTGCACCCAGCCTCATAAGACCCCTGCCCACACCACTCAGCACATTGGTAAGTAGCAGGGACCAACACTGACCAGGCTGCTGAGCAAGAGCCCTGCTGCAGGGCCCGGACACTCTCCTCAGGCAGTCCATGTTTTTGCACTTCCCACTTTCACAACAAGCAATACACATGTTTTGTGTACATGTAGCACAACTCATTTCAGAAGAGTAACATCACCATAACTGAAAGAACAAGGCACAAACAAAGCCTATATACTATCTACTGTCATATTAAAAAGCATATAAAGGCGGAATCTCTACAGTATGTTCAGATTACTATATTTCTTTTATGGTGACTGTTGCTGGAACAGTTTGCAAACAAGGAAACACGCTAGTTCTGTGCTGCACCTAGCTAGTGATAAAAAAGATTAATATTTTTTTAATTATTAAAATATAGTTTAGTATATACTATTGTGGAAAAGAAGGGAGAGAAAGAAGAGGGACATTTATTTTGTCAAAATACACATCAGGCTTTGATCCATAACATTCCAGAACAATTGCTTCCAACTGTGATTTTCTTACCAAAGTGTTACAGCATCTTACATGAGTCAGTAAACTTATTACAGTGTTAGAAGAAGCTGCCAAACTCTTACAAATTCAGAGCATGTGCTCCGATAGAGATTATTTAATATTTGCCAACATCACCCAGTTTGAAAAATAAATTCACAGCATGTATTTTGGGAAACAGACTTGAGATATCTTGTAAATAAGCAGGTGACATTTCATTTGCTGCATTTTTAAGAGTACAAATGCTGGGAGGTTGAATTACAAAATGATAAACTTTTATTTTATATCTTTTCTAATCACATCTGCCAGATATTTGCAATTTTCTGTCATAAAATCTATTCTCTTCAAACAGAAACTAGTCAGGTTTTAGTTTTAAATTGAATGGTTCAGGTTTGTCAAATTTTCTTGAATCTTATCATTCAATCAGATTTATTATCAATACCAAAACATTTTTATATAGCACCTTTCATCCTGACAGATCTCCAAAAGCCTTGAAAAACTTCTCTGGTTCTGTGCAATTCCATCCTCTCTCATAATGCTGCCACTTTCAGGACAGAAAGAAGAACCTATTTAAGTAATGACAGCAAAAGTACCACAACAGTTCTTCAGAGAGATGGTAACTCCTAACACAATCTCAGGTTAGAGCTGCAAAAAGGAACATGAGGGACATACTACAGTCATGAGGGAACAACTACCATCATCAAAACACCTTTTAATTTACTCATTGCTGAGTGGATCTATGGCAACCCAATATTCAGCAGTCCCATTTTTTTCTCTAATAGTATCCACATCTTATTTCCAGCAGTCCCACTTCTTCCCTGAATAACCAAATTCTTTTTAAGTTCACTCTATCATTTACTGACATTAACTGCAGTAAAACGTCCCAAGCGAGCACTGAGAAGACCAGTAATGTTCAACTGTCTAGCAGAGGCAGGTCAAACAGAGAAACAAAATTGTACCAGAAACCCTGCAGAGGTTTTGAAGGGAAGCTGATACAGACTGTGATAGCCATGCTGAGTTTCATTGTAGGTTGAAAACTCATTTACACCAAATATACTGTTACAACCTGGATTGTGTAAAACAATTTTATTTCCTTTATCCAATTCAACATCTTACCCAAGATCCATATGCCGCATAACTGGAGCAACAGCTAGTCATGCAGAACTTTACCCTCAAAGGGTTTCTGAAACTCCAAACCTATTTAGAATCACATGTTGCAATTCAACTTTCCTTTTCACTGCAGAAAACCAACAAGCTTAAACTGCATCTCCATTTCCCTCTAGAAAGCATTCTGGGCACTACTCAGACAGGAATCTTTTGACAAAGATAATGAAGCTCAGCAGAAGACGTGGCCCTCTCCCTCTGTATGAGTCCTACTATGGATGAAGAAACAACAAGCTTATCCTCTGCCAGGGAAGTAGTGCTCTGCTAACATGAATGCTGCCACCTTCCAGAACTCAAGCTCTGTACCTGTGATTCTGCATGCTAACAGACTTACTTTAATCAAGGACATCAGCATATGAGTATGAAAGCCAATGAACTGCTCATCTAGCTTTCACGTTCGGACATACATGGAACAGCACTATACTAGCTATGAAAGTAGAAGTGGGCATGCAGATGTAGGAAAAAGGAGATGTGAGAACTTTATATGAGACGGAAATATGAATCCTCCTGATGGAAACCTGGCATATGTTAGCTACCCCAAACAGTGAAAAGAAAACAAAAGCCCTACAAATAGCTGTAACTGTTTTTTATGGCATACACTGATGATGTTCAGTTCTGTAAATATTTGAGCATTGAAATGGTCATTTGGTGTTTCCAACCACTCTGCTGAAAATTATTGCCCGGTCTTACAGAAAAGGAGGCGCAAGAAGTGAAATGGATTTCTCGAGAGCAAAGCAGAGTGAACCAGTTCCCGTACTACAGGTCCATGCTCACACTGCCAAGTCATTCTGTGCCACATGCTAACTGCTACATGCTTGTCCTGGAGGGCAAGCAGGATTAGACTGCTCTTGTCCCAAATCAGAACTCTATGGAACTTTAACTTTGCTCCCCCTTTTTGTTTCTATGAAACCAGCACAGAAGATCCTAGAGCCTCATTTTACAACAGGCAGCTGCAAGAGCTCTTCTCCTAGCACTGTGTGTTCCAACATACACAGCAGCCCTAGAGATGGCAAATCCATGCACAGCTGAGTTGCCTGTACATTGAGAGCAAGACTGCCATCATGGCTGCAAATGCTGGCTTCCTGCAAAGCCAAAACCTTGCGGTGGTTGGAGTCAGTGACTCTGCTGAAACCACTGCTGAGCAGGCTGGCTGAGATAAAAAAGTTAATTTATTTTCAAGATATGCTGAGGATCACATCTATTTTCTGAATTAGAAGAATACAAAGAATTAGTAGAATATAAAGACAGACTATAAATCTTAATTTTTTACTTACCCAGAGGTATAAAGTCCAAAATCCCAAGCAAGAGAGGCCTTAATTTGTTAAACAGTCACTAAAGCAGACTAGAAACTGATTTTGGGTTTGTGTTTTTTTTCTAATCAATTAGCCCAAACCTGCAGCTGCTTAAAGGTCCCAATAGTTACTCTGCCCACTTAAAACACTGTGGGGGCAAGTTCTTACTAGAATATGCTCCTTTTCCCAGTTATGACCTTTTTTTTTAAAAAAAAAAGCTTGTTACTTCCGTGGCTTTCAGGGCAGATTTTGACAAGAAGCATTACTGCATCTATGTCTCAGGCCCACCACTGCAGCACCTAGAACTTCTCAGGTTGAAAGCTTTTGAAGTGGTACTCTGCAGTGAGACTTTCTCAAAAAAGAGGTAACATCAGGCATAAGAAAGAAAAAGCCTCCACCCTTTGAAAATAAAATAAAATGCTGTTTGCAGAGTCCCAGTCTGCCACTTGCCCCACTGAAGTACCTTCCTGGCATCACAATAGCGTAACCCAAAGGAGTGGAACTGTGGGAAGAAGGCTGGCTGGACAGCTGCAATCTGTGTGTAGAGCTCTGAGGGCCGTGACATGGCAGGAGTTCCCGAAAGCAAGATCACTCTCCTGGCAGCCTGAAAAAGCAAAATAGAACATTGTTATCATAGAGCTTACAATTTAAGCAGAACCTACTAAGAAGTCATCCCCAGTCCTGAAAGAAAGTCTCAGAGCCATTGTGCAAGCACCCTAAATGGACAAGGGCTTCACCTTCCATGGATACTTTCAGCCTTCACTGCCTGAAGACACACAAGGACAGTGCTTAAAACTTCTAGGAAGCAGGACAAGCCATATTGTTTCTTAATCATCATCCACATGCTGCAAGGAATGGGGACATCTATTTTTATGACAGTACTTTCTGAACTGGCATTAACCCACTAGACATTTCAATTTGCATCAGATGTCACAGGAAGATGACACACCATCTCAGGTACTTCCTCACCTCCAAGATAAATTCTCCTGTAATAAACCTGCCACAGCAAGCCATAAACAGACTATCTTCCTTACAAAAGCAGAAGAGATCCAGAGAAGTAGGATCTTTTTTTTTTTTTCCTAAATTCTATTATCAAGGAGAGAAAGGTGAAGCTGCATGAACCAAGACCATAAGATGGCCTATCTAAGAGCCATGGTGAGTCTAGGCACAGCTGCCTGAATACTAGAACATGAGTTAATAAATACGAATCATGTAAGAAGATTGTAAAACATGTGCTGTAGGGGAGACAGGAAGGGAGTGGGAAACCTGTATCTAAAGCAGGTGCTCCCAGGAAGTGCAGAAAAAAATTACACTATATACATAAAGGCCTCCAAGATGCAATTCTACCCTCATACCTCCATTATTGTCTAATTCTGTTATTAGATGAGAGCTATGGATTTCTACTGCTGTGAATTCACATATAGTAGTTAAATTACACATGCCTTGTATTTTCCTGCATGGTTTAATGCAGGTTCATTAAAATAACAAGGATTCTTGAGTGACATCTGTACCAACAGCTCATTCACATTTAAATGAAAAAGAAAATTAAATTCTTTTATCATTTCACTGAGATCTACCAGTCACCCAAATCTATTCAGCTGATTCATCCACTTGCCAACCAAATCTGGTAGAAAAAGACTTCACAGATCAGCTACCGGAAATTAATTTCAGGGCTCTATCAGATATTTATATATAGGTTGTAATCAAGGTGGGACTTACCTTCTCCCTCTATCCCTATTAAACAGAACAGAAGGAAATGTGATCACCACCAGGATCAGACAATTCCCGTAAACATTTCAAAAAAGCAAGATATTTATTGAACTAAATAAGAGGTGAAGTCAAACCTTTGGATATGTCAGAAGATGAGAGTTAGTTCACACAAGACAGAGGTGCCTATGTTACTCAAAAGAGGGAGGAGTCACAGAGACCAAAGTTATCGGATCCCATGAGGAAACAAAGTGATAAAGCAGAAATTAGGTCAGTTTTTAAAATTAAGGTAACAGTGGAGGACAACTGAGCAGAACCTAGACAATACCTGATGTCCTGCAGAGGTCTTTGAGGATTAAACTAACACAACCCTGAAAAATATGCTGAAATGCAAGACAAGCCAGGCCCATACATGCAAAAAACCTCCAAATTAAACTTTTTCCTCCTGGACTAACAGAAGGCCACTGCTAGGAAAAAGACAACAAGGAGGTCATGCAATTATAGACATTTCAAGTAACTCTGGATCAAGCTAAAGCAAGAAAAGTTCACTCAGAACAGACCAGGGACATACTATGTGCAACATAAAAACAACTGTGTTGAAAGGTTTTATGCCATTCTCAAGGCTCCTCCTCTTTGGGAGGGGTTCCCCAGGTGTTACATGAGACAAGGTTGGAACACTAATTCCCCAGTAGTTAAAATAATTAGTCAAGCTCCTTCCCCAATCCCTAAACAGGTATCAAGAGGGAACGATCAAGTTACAGGTTATACAAATTCTGAACTTATCCATCTGCTGCTTTGCTGTGTGCAACTTATTTCTGAACTTACAGGGTATCTAACCACTGCAAGCACTTACCAAGGGCTGTGATATATCTTCTATAATTAATCACTGTAAACAAATCGAGAGGTAAGAAACAACAAAAAACCCCAAACCAACAAAAAACCCAGAAGACACTATCTCTACAAAAGCTGTGAAAAACTTGAAGAAATTAATTCCAAAAAATTCTGTGTAACATAGGTGGTCTAACTCATTACCCCAAGGGTGCCTTTCAGTTTTAAAATCCATGACAGAAGGAGCCCACGAAAGAAAGAGAAGAAAAAAATCCTAGGAAGACAAGTTTGAGTGTTGAAGGCTTACTTAAATTCTGGATGAAAGAAATGGCTTTGATTCACATTTCTTTTTCTAGTGGCAACTCATTTTGAATAGGTGCCAGTAAAGATTTGCTCCTGCAGAGAAGTCTCTGCTGATCACTGCTTAATTCTTGTTTCCTGCTGAACCTTCTGTGCTGTCAAGAGTGAGAGCTTACCCCCCTTCTTCCAAGGTCTGTAAGAATAATATGGAACAACAGCACAGAAAATAAGATTGCAGAGACTTTCTAGCAAAACCAGATCTGTAATCAATTGGTATGTATTTCCACACAAGTGAACTAACATTTGCTACTCATCAGCATTTAAGCAGGAAGTTTAATCTTCCCCAGAAGCACTCCTCTCTCACATGTCCTTGTGACTGTTCTTAGAGCTACTTTCTTATGAGATTGCTTAAGGGAGATCTAACACTGACTTCCTTGACTAGTGGAGAGCTGGTCTGTAGTTCTCATTTACTAAGTAACGTAAGACCACTGTGGCTTTGCAGCATTATACTTGCACACACAATACACCAGCAAGAATTAACTCCACAGCTGTGACAACATTTACAAAAGTCACTTTTGAAAGTCAGAGTAATTTATGAAATGGCACTTACTACAGAGGTCAAAACCCAGCACCTAACTGATTTGAAGGGGAATAGGTGAGAAGGGGATTTATGCCACAAAGAAATAATTGAACATGCAAAGAGCCTCATTAACATACAATGACTATCTCTGTGTTAAATGAATTTCACAGCATGAGCTCGGCCATATGCTAAGAGACTGACGCACTTTTTTAAAAAGTGTGGCTGGTTCTGCCTGTACAATCACTTGTTTCCCCAGTTTTTGCTTACTCTGTCATTTTGAACTGCTTAGCATAAGAATACTTTATCCTGTGAAATGAAAAATCCGAGAGTGGACATAATAGAGATGATCACCTGATAAAATAGAAGATTTGATAAAGGGAAAGAGTTGCATCTGTTTCTGTACTTGGGTAAAATTGACAGGAATCCGCATTTCATAAGATGATCCTACATTGGTTATTCTAAAAAAATAAAAATACCTTTCCCTATTCTTAAGTGACATTTAGACAGAGAATATGTGTCAAATGGTGACTATCAGCTATGACTGAAGCAAATTACACTACCTCTCTGTTTCAAGAAGGGAAATTGGAAGGTAAGAGTGGACCTAAAGACGCAGCCACAGCTTCTCCAATTTCAAGATGAAGTTCCTCTTTCAGCAGGTGACAAGCAAAGGCTTATTTACCCAATCCATATGGATTTGTGATGCCCAATAACAACCACTATGTATTACCCACTGGAAAGGGAGTTTTTTGTGTTCCCTTCTCACCTTCTACCTTCAGCGTTGACCTATTTCCCTCCATTATTTTTAAGCATCTTTTTATGAAAACAAGCACAAAGTATATTAGATTCCAGCCACACAATGTATTTGAACTTCCATAATAGAAACAAAGACCTTTAACCCTGAAAACACCAGGATGTGCATCATGCCATTAACCTGAACAGCAGCTCAATAGGAAAAAAAATCACATTAGTAATATTACCCAAATGTTGTGGAGCAAAGCCCATAAGGAGCACAACAGGAATAAGACTATTTTATGCCACTGGAATCTTTGATTAGATACTACTTCTTAATTCTCAGTTTCTAATCCAGTTCTTCACTACAAACTTACTGTTGTGCTTCAAAACAACTCATCCATGTTCCATTGGGACCTTCCCCAGTTTCCACTGCCTTGCAGTACTCCATGCAATTACAGAATAACAAAGACCACGAAGCACTTTGGCTGGTTGAAGGATGTAGAATCCTTTTCACTCCAGACCCCAAGAGATCCCACCACAGATCAGTGAAAAACTTATATTTTGTTGTTGTTTCTTCATCTACACCCCCGGGGCTTTGCTGTTTTATGGGTACTGGTAGCATGTATACTCCCTCTCCTATGTTCATGTCTCTGAGCCAGTCTAATCCTGGAAGGTAAAACCAAAATGCCTACAAAAGGCTTAACACCATGATGCTTTCTGCCTCTGAGGGAGGCTGATGCAGGGCAGAGGTGGAGGGAACAACCAGCATTGTCAGTACACCCAGGAGAACTTAGTCTCAATTATGAGACTAAAGAAAACAGCAAAGTGACAAATAGGTCCTACAACTGATTGCTACAGCTCTGGATAGGGGCAGGGACAAGTCAGGCCTGACTAGGCCTGTTGGTGACTACAAGCCCAACGGTATGAGACTACTCTCACTATGATGTGTGTGGAAACAAGACAAAAGGACCACTTTGAACACAGAACTTCTAGCCCTCTTGAGTACCACGAGAGGCTGAAGCTGGGGACAGATCTCATGCAGCTGCTGGCACAGACTGGCTAGTGCAAAAACTGGCTGAGCTTGAGAGCAGGATGCCAAAAAATCAAAGGACTGTTTTCTACTACAGCCTTTAACCCCTTCGCTTCCAAAATTTTGCAGGGATGCACACAGTCTATGTAAACTCTGACACCTGGTTCCATGCAGGCAGACGAAGCATTCTCCCCCACGGACAAGTCTGTGCACCCATGAGTTTGCACATCCACTGGGAACTTGAAGGGAATAAGAAACCTGGCCTAAACATTTTGCTGTTGCTATTTCAGCTCACCCTACCTTACTGTTTGTGTAATTGTAAGTTCCTTTCATAGTTTTGTTCAATAATAAATTGGGCACAACATATCTGTATACTTACTCTAAACTAATGACAACCTGGGGCAAGCTACCAGGTAGCTAACATGGTCATTGCATACATCCAGCCATTATAAAAGCGCACTGAAAAGTCTTTCCAGTTACACTTCCCACTGTCCCAAGCAAAACTTTACTAAATCTCTGTCAGAGTAGCAACAAAGTATGTTACAAAAGATACTGAATATTACACACACCGAATACTGTGCACACATGCAGTTTGTGGATTTGTTGAATATTAAAAAAATGTCTAGAAGTTCCCAACTGGCTAGCTTAGGCCACATGTTTAATACATGGTTCTGCTTGACAATTCCACACCACACTTGCTCCGCAATATATACAAGAGAGCAGGAAAAGATGAATTATTACTGAGTGGCTAAAAATACCATTTCATTTTGAAAACCAGTCAACGTCAGATATTAAAACTAAAATGAGGCTTTAAATGCTGTAACCATGGGTTAAATACTGCAGAGGTGGAGATTCACCTTGGCTGTCTAACAAGTCAGATTCCAAATTAATATCCAAGGTAAATCATCTTTATTATGAATGTATTGATTTAATCTGATTATTGTGCAGTTCTGTCTAAACACTTGCAAAAATTTTTATATTTTACTTATTCAAATAGAGAAGTCACAGGAGCAGATTCTGCCAAGATAAAAAGAATTAATTAAGAACAGATGGAAGTGAAACATTTCAGGCTCAAGCATTTTAACTTAGATCTGTCCAGTGTCATTATGGACTCATAAATCTTTGGAGTATGCAAGGACCAAGGATCACATTTCCTAGGTGGTTTTTTTCCTTTATGTCTCCAAAAGTCAGTTCAAGGCTAAGCTTTCATGCTTCAGGATGTTGAGAACCTCGTAGGAAATATAAGCAACTATGGCAGTTTCAGAAAGATTAAAGTAGCGTAAAGTTACCAACAGCTAGAAGTGGCAATGCTTAATAGGTAGACATGGCATGAGTAGGCTCCAGATGCTCTGGTCACAGCACTGGTATGGCTTCATACTGTGACCTTTAAGGTAGGGACTGAGGTGCTAAAAGCCACGTACCTACCCCAGGGTTACCTATGGATACACCTCTTTTTGGTCTCTTCTACGAACCCAGTACTGCTCTAATCATTTTAATACAAAGAAGGCAAGAGCAAGACTATTATCCTCAGCAGCATGTTTATCAATGCCTCTTATTCAATAATCTCGAAGTATCATGTATAATAATGAAAATACTCCCGTTTTTACCCCATTGACTATTTACTATAAAGATCACACAGTACAGTTGTTAAATCCAGTAGTCAAGTGACGAAAACTCCTCCTGTTTTGGCAGTTCTTTCAAATATGAAAGCATTGCTATGATGTACCAGAAATGAACACAGCATCACTTGCTAGTAGTTGAAGACAAAGCTGCCAAAGTGGATAGTTTTAGAGCAAAATGCCTGTGCTGGAAAGCAAGGAGGGCAGAAGAGTGGCTATTACAGCAAATACTTCAGAAGTTATAGTCAGCAAGCAGGAGAATAAAATTTACCTAACACAAACTTTACATCTAATATGAAACATCTGGTACTGTATGCTGTTTGCAGGTGAGATAACACATGATGTGAACATGAAACTCTTAATGCTTTCAGAAGACTGAAATTAAGTTTCAGAAGCACCCGTTCTCAAATCTCTAAGACTAGTGATGTGACAACATAAAACTAAATTCTCGGTAAATGCATACAGGCAATTAACCTTTGCCTAACAGCTACCATCTTTCACTCTCATATCTTGTAGACTGCAAGTAACTTTGACAAGCTGATACTTACAAAGCTATAAGTAGGAAAGGAAGAGACTGCTTATTGAGCATTTTGCAACAAGGTGAATTTGTTGTTTTCCACCATTTTCAGATGTACACCCTAATTATTGTACTTCAAACTGCTCATGAACTTGGACCTCCTACTTAGTTTTCAAATATTAAGAATCTGAAGTCATTTGAAAGCCAAGAGAAAACAAGAGTCCGGCCTTTAAAGAGAACAATTAAGTTATTCAAGGACAGCCACCTTCGGTTTGCCATTAAGAACCCTGCATATAAAAGTTGGTTGCTATAAAGGCATCACATATTGAGTCTTCTCTTTATACACACTGGCTGATAACTGATGAAGGGAACTGCATTTACCCTGTTCTAATGTACAGATTCTGCAGTGTCCGGAAACTACTTGTAACTTTAATCTGCTTAGAGACTACCAGGAAGAGTATAATTCCTTGAGCCCGGGACAACAGGCAGACATTAAAATTTCCATTTCTCCTGTTATCACATAATTGAATATTGCCTCCCTTCTGTTGTCCACTTGTCTTGCTAACCTCATGTTCTGCCATTTCCTACTAGTTCTGCATGTTTAACCAGCAGGAGTACTCCTGAACACCAGCCACACAAATACATTGGAAGCTTGCAGTAACAGAGTAGAGCCCAAAACCAAAGCCAAGGAAGAGACCTAAGTAATGTCATTTTGATATACAGCTGTGATTTGTGTGCCAAGTAGTAACTGATAATGATTATTTTAATTAAGCAAGCTACGTTGACACTACTCTATTATTTCTACTCTCCCTGAATATATTCAGTACGTTTTGGCATTCCCTTTTTCCCATCACCATAAAAGTCATCAGTGGCAGTACCACAATTAGATCAAGGAAGATTCTGAAGTTCTTTTGTTAGTTCTTACCATCTAACATTTGTATAGAAACAAGTGGCTATGCCAGAGACAAATTTTGCTCTCGGATCTACAATGCTACCTGGATTTCTACTTGTCCATCAACAGAATTCAGCTCCTGGCTCCTGAACCTGGTAAATGGAACAACACTGCTTTGGGAGCCTGACCTTAGCTGCTAGAGGTTTGGCACTCAGCATACGCACCTTAAGTAGAGGCATGGCAGCTTGGCATCGTGCAGTTTTTATGTTCTTTAGGAAATGAGATTCATCCTGAAACAAAACAAGCATGAAAATAAAGACAGTTCTGATCCATAATCCAACTGCAGGCTACAGAACAAATTCCCAGTATTCTCAGCTATCTAATATTACAAGCCTGTCATCCCAGAGGATATTTCAAGCACTAGGATAGTCACATCAAATTCTAAATGAAAAGACACCTTGGAGAGTAGCAGGATTCCTACATTCAAACCCACAGCTGCAAGCAAATGGAACAGAAATCAAACTTTAAGGCCATGAATCTCAAACGACCACAAACAAGTGAGCAGAGGGGCCTGGAGAGGGAAGGAGTTTCTATTTCCACCACCAATACTTATTTGTCCCTATGTGTCCTTTAAATGCAGCAACATAGAAGGCCTATACAGTGCCACTTCTCTAAATAAGGGGTTAATGAAATCAATAAGGAAAAAAAGAAATCTAATTAGGATCTAACTGTTCTGCTGATAGGGCTCACCAGGTGGAAAACAGCCTCGTGCTTGAGACATCACCCCCAGACAGGCTTCATTTCTACTGCTGTAGCAAGGCAGAACTTAGACACAAAAAGTCATCGGTGCCCTCCAAGGGTACATTCTCATCTTTCTACGTGTGGATGAACAAGCAACCATGCATGCAAAGACAATACAACTGCTTAGCCTTCAGGCACTGCATTCTCCCTCACGATTAACAAATAAGCTACGTTAATGTTTCCAGACATCAAAAGATCGGAAGAAAAAGCAGGGAAGCTTAGCACTCAGTAGGATTACTCTTATCCGTAAAAACATATAAAAGGTCCAAATTTGAACATATAAACACACAGAAAGAACATCTGCCAGCTCAGGGCTGGTAAAAGGTTTCAGAGCAGTAGTCCTAGATCCCAAGTCCCTTTACAACAAGCACCGGTATACAAAAGTGACAATCTGCATTTCCACCCTGACAGAAAGTCTTCTCAGAGTGGGCAAGGGAAAAAAAAATATCAATAACAAAAAAAAAAAAGAAAAAAAAAAAAAAAATCAATCAATTCACCCATGAGTAGTTTGGTCTCCAAAGAACTCCATCTAATCCCACATTCCCATCTGATGCTAAGAAACAAAAGAATTATGTTCCAGTTGTCATGATCTTAGGGACAGGTGCATATGTGTGCTAAAAACTAGACTGAGAACATCAAACACTCATAGTAAGCTACATATATACTTTTGGTCTCTATTGATCCAAGCTGGATTTGAAACATTAGATGTTTTGAATTTTTAGTGACTGAAATTTAGAAAAATGCCTTTTACCATGGCACTGTAAAAGGTTAAAAAAATAGATTTCAAAGCAATTAAGAAGTGATACATAAAAGTGATCAAAGAAAGCTTAATGCATATTGTCAGTAAAACACAAGCAAAGGGAGATTTTTTCAATGCTTTACCCACATTTTTGCTGTTGAGATGTTACCCGGTTTACTGGATAAACACTAACATCACCCTGAAGTCCAATCCCCTTAAAAAAGATACAATTCCAAGACTATTGTATTGACACACCACATTAAACACCTTCCTCTCCAGCTGAGGACATACCCATCCACAATGAAATCAGAACAGCACCATAACCAGTAAAAAAGAAAACACAGCCTCAGGAATCAAAAAGGAATTAAACTCTATTAGTTAACTCAAAAGGATTCACAGAAACCTCCTGCTTCTACTCATGAAGACAGCTGGGGTCACAGCCACAATTACAAGACAGTTGCAGTCCTAAATAAGGCCCACTTCACACTTCTCTGCTGTACAACACAAAGGTTACCCCATTTGCAACATACAATTAACTTCAAAATTTTGGTGTACTACTTACAATAATGACTACTTGGAACGTGCTCTTATGTTTCTTGTCCATTTTGCTGAGGAGGTCAAAGCTGACGATGTTGATCAAGCTTGCAGTTAGGTTGTCTTTGCCACTCACTATGACATTGGTGCTACCTGGACTCAAGGATGGAAGCCACCTGTGAAATGCCTGGAGGAAGAAGAAAGCAATTAATTGCATTCTGGTGCTTATGTCCTCTGTCAGGACCCCAAAGCACTTCACAGAGCATCCTCATGAATGCTTAGAACATGAAGCCACCCCATCCACCATTAGACATCACCTGGGAGCACAGGAAGGGAAAGCAGCCTCGCCAAGGCAACAACCCTAGTAATGGGAAGAACAAGAACAGAACTTAGGCTATACAGCCAAATCTACCTTCCATAACTAGGAAAGCTCAAACATGCTCTATCCTTGCTTCTTAGTGGAAGAAAAAAAAAAATCTGATCTGTAATAGAAATGTGCATAACCTCCTGACAAAGTTACCTACTATGCTCAGCGCCAGAGAATGCAGTGACCACTACTGACAATGACATTTAGCGTTCCCACTCAACAGGAAGACTCAGGCTCTGAAATACAGACTTCTAAGCAGTAAATATCTCTCACTATAGCAGTATTTACTCCATGGTGAGGATGAAGTACAACTCATCCAGATCAACAAAAACTCTTCTACTACCTCTCCTTCTTAAAGTCTACAAAAAACCCACCCCAAATCAAACAAAATTAAAAGATCAAGTTGACAACACAGCAGCTGCTCTATGACAGCAGCTGAATTACATGTGGTGATAGTCATTCAAACCAACCTCTTGAAATGCTCCACACACCAGAGCAAGATATCCTCCCCCAAATCCATCTGTTAGCTACTGAGCACCCATCATTTCCCTTGTAATTGTGTCTCCAATGACACCAACCTCTCTGCAACATTTGAGTTCTGCTGATGCTCTGCAGAGAACTGGATGGGGCTTTAGCATTCAGGATCTGGTCCCTACAAAAATGTATTCAAGTGGTGATGAGAAATGGCATCTGTCTTTAGGCCGTTCACTTGTGGAAATCCCCCAAACGTTGTTCCCCTCTCCTGTTCAGCAACCAGATACAGTAGCCAGAGGAGTTAAATGTGACCTTCTCATATTTCTCAGTATGTTAGAAACTAACAATCAACCACCCTCCACCACTTATGGTAAGCACCACAACCAAAATGGGCCAACATGCAGGCAAGGTTAGAACCCAACCAAAAAATATGTGGCTGACACTAAACCAAAACTTAGACAAAAGTGGCAGCAATGGGAAAGTATATGGAAGTTCCTAGGTGTCCTGCCCTCTTCCTTTGTAAAGGGCCTGTGACTAATTTACAGTGTCAACGTGATCCTATATTTCTCACTTGATGTTGACTTTTTACCATAAGAAGTGCTTTGAAACTGTCCTGGCCATTAATTATTTAAGTTTCAATGCTGAACTCTAAATGCACATGGCTGCAGTACTTCTCACTCAAGAGTACCTTGCATCTTCCTGCTGGCTTCCTATAGCACCTTGAATATAAAGGCACTCAGTGGCCTGAGCCCAGAAAGACAAAATAACACGCTGACAACTCTGAGATGAAGACAATTTCTGGCAGTTCAGCTCCAGAGACATCACAAAAGCTTCTACCATTACAGTAAAACACATCTGTAGAATAATTAACTGAGTACAGACCATTATAAATTCCACTTTTTTCTACTTTCTGCAACACATTTTTCTTAGATCTGCATCCTTCGCATACCCAGAAAGCAACACAGATCATTCTAAAGTAAATGTCCTAACAAAACCTCTCCCACACCACCTTCCGGGGAGTCAGGAGTAGAGGAAGGAAGAGGAAATCAAGCACTCAAAGAAAAAAAATATTGATTAAATCTCTTGAAGCAGGATGTAGGAGTTTAGCTGCAGGTACCCACTACTTCAGGAAACCAGGCCCCAAATTGTTCCCAGTAGGTATCCCACAGAAGCCATGGATTCAGGTTAGGTGTTTACCAATAGGTCTACAAGCCTTTGAAGTATCAAACATGATGAGTATCACTCCCTTGCTCAGCAAACAATTTTCTTGTCACCCAACATTTTGTTGCACTACTGGACATGAAAACGCACGCCAAGATGCTCTAACAACCTGATTACAGCACAAATCCAGCAAATCCCAATCAATATACTTCTCATCTATGCAACATTTCAGTGAAAGTTAAACTCCCATCCTCTCCTGCTCAGGCATGAAATTACTGACCTAAAATCTCTGGCTCACCTTTTTCTCCCACAGTGAACATTTCACTAGCCTATGGCAACCCAACAGCCTTAGTGTACAAGCCATGACAGTGATTTGTTTCGAGATACATTTCCCAACTGTACAAGCCTTCTTGGGCTTCTGATGAACATTAATAAAGGACTCAAAGGAGTCAGCAGCATACAGTGGACAGGACAAAAGATGTATTATGACAGACGCTTAAGGATGACGATAATGGAACCTCCTGAACAGAGTGAAGAATCCCAGCACCTGGGCTTTTATTCCAGCCAAGAGATTGGCAAACACTGCTATAAAGGACTTGAATACAACAGACAGTTGGCTTGAATGCAACTATTGTCTCTGACACTGATGAGCAAACGCCCCCTTAGAGCCAGCTGACTTGCAGGAACAAATGTAACAAAGGGTCAGAGGAGGTATTTTCTCTAGATCTCTCTTTCCAACAAATCAGCTGGACCACAAAAAGAAAACTGGCCAAAGAAAACAGGCATGTACCATACAGTTATACGTTTTTTAAAAATTTAACTTGTACGAAATACAAGCTCACAGTACCTCTGCCCATGTAAATCTCATGGAAGAAGGAGTCACCACCAGCAAGGGCCATTCCTTTCGGTAATACGCAGCAATGCAAATTGCCTGGATGGTCTTGCCCAAGCCCATGTCATCCGCAAGAAGTAAACGTCCATTTCTTAAAACTGCGAAACTGGGGAAAAGATAGGAGAAATAAGTAAGAGTCAAGAAATGGGTTACCATCTGTCCTGGCAGCCAGGATAAGCACAACTCATCACCAGGCCTACAACATGGATCACCTGGAAGTGATCTGGGTTCTTCAGTAAACCTGGATCTTCTCCCTTAGTCTTAACACAAGTGAGCAACTCCCACAAGTCTCTCAAAGCTTGGAAGCTCCTGGTTCAGCCCAGTCCTTAGAGACTTTGATTTCATATGAGGAGTAGTCTCATGACCTTACAATTATTTAAAGCACATTATTTCCGTGATATTACTCACATTCTGTCCCAGAGTTCATCCTGGCTGACTTAAGAAAATATTACTAATAACAATGACACTTTAACACCAGTAAGCACAGACTTTACTGGATTGCATCTTGAAGTCAACAACTAATGACCATATATGATGGGGACAGGGCCATTTAAAAGTTTATCTGTACATACAATTAGCCATTTTAAAACTTTCAGGACCTGGGTCCCACTTCCTGGCACTTTCCCATGTAGAGCTAATATTTAAAAAACAACAACAAAAGAGAGGCACGGGGGGGGCAGAGGGAACGATGACCTTACAAAATAAAAAAATCATTTGACAGGCATATAGTGAATCACAAAAGGATGATCAGATGTATCATTTGATCAATTTTATGAGACTACTTTCCTCCTGACTCATGATGAAGATTTCTAGCTAGAAACAGATGTGTCACACAAAGAAAAAAATAAAAAAAGTCCACAAACACACACACCCTCAAAACAAACAATACCAAACGACCAAGAGCCCCAAGTGCCAGAGTGCAACAGCACAAGACTCTAGAGAAATGCGGAACCCTTCATGGAATAGAATGAAGCCTGGGCACCAATATAAGGTACAGAATTCTAGGCAAGGACTAGAATAGTCTTAATAGCATGCAAAAAAGACATACTTCACACCTTCCCGCTGAAAGGGCATGAGGCTCGTCACAATTTTGGAGTCCACAACTGAAAGGTCAGCATCAGGAATATCTGTCTGTGGTGTAGATGTCTGTATTTGAGCAGCAAAGGTTTGTATTACTGCCTCAGGCAGTGGTTCCACTTCTACTGACACAAGGCTCTGTAACACTTGCACTGCAAAGAACAGAGCAGTTTATTATCAGAAGGGGTAACATACACACAACTTAAATTATGGATGTCAGGGCACAACCCTCAAACTCATCAACAATATTACTTCCTATCCTGAAACATCTCAAGAAAGCACTGCATCATGCCCAGGTGTTGGCCTGGCCTCTTCCCTGAAGTCTATTTCAGCACCACATGATGAATCACATCTCCCCTTGTATTTACACTTGGTTATAAAAAAACTGAAAGTCTAATGTCATCATTCAGAGATGATTGCTACTAATACATCTGGAGCTGGATTATTCACACAGAGGGCAGCTTAGGGCACACTTTAGTCAGAAATAAAAGTATGGATTTAAACAAAAGAGCTCCTGAAGCCTTGAAGGCAGGGGCATCTTTATCTTTACCTTGGGATTCTGCATTAAGCTCCTCTGAGGTCTTCACCATCCCCAAGTGATCAGAGTGACATGACACACAGTTACCTGACGCATATCATACATCTTCACCTCTTCTCCTCCTGTTCCCCAAATTCACACAGGGTTGGCTCTGTCTCCACTTTATCACCCCTTGTTTACCACACTTAGATACGAAAACAGGAAGCACCTCAGGACTCAGAGGAAGTGCTCTTGTACCACCATCAGCAGCACTCTGACAGCCACCCTCCAGGGACATGGTAGCAACAGAAACTCCCTGCTCAGCTGGTGTCCACTGCTGTTCTCCTGGACAGAAGTAGCTTGCAGGCCAGAACAAGCCCACAGACACCCACTTGAGTCTCTCATCACTACTGTTGTTTCATTCATGGAGCCTCTCAGCTTTATCTGCAGCATAAAACCTTCCTAGTCAGACTAATGGGATCCTCAGCCTCCATTATGCAAAGACCTCATGGCCTTCATCTTTTCAATCCATGCATCACAACAAGCAAAGCATCAGGGCAATTCTCCTCCTAGACAACCGTACTTCAGACCTCTCCAAGAAACCTCTCTATCCCACCCCAGAAAGATAAAAGTATTTCCTTTTAATTCAACAATGAATTTCTATGAAAACAAATACCAGTTTAAAACATGCAGTGAGCTGGGACCAGGAAAACATGTTTAATTATCAATCTTTGACCACTGACTGAAAATCAAGACACCCCCACACCAGGAACACAAATGCATGTGCACAGATCCTTTATTGCAGTAAGCAACTTGTTTTTTAATTTAGTGGTTGGTTTGTATATGAAGTCAGGAAGACAAAGCAACTGTTTGAAAAGTAACTGAAATAAGAACTCACTATACCAGCAGTAAATGCACCTTCAGAATTCAGTTATGTATTTTTATTTCAGTTCTTTCCAAGAAGAAAGCAGCAGGATGGACCCCTGCCATATGAAGGGGGAAAGCAATTCCAAGAAATATACATATGAAAAGATTTCCATTTGTAGTTGGGCAATGACCAAACTTTTTAAACTCTCCAGTTTAATTTATACTTCTTCAATAGCAGGAACTCTCTCCACCCAAAGTACAGCACAAGCTTGTTATTACACTCACAGACTGAGCTATGTGTTAGCATAATTGCTACAATTTGCTCACTGATAATTCTGTTGCTATTGTTCTGTACATGAGCTGGGAGAGTGATTAAGATATATCTGCCACCAGCATGATTCATCCAACAGACATTTTTTACTGAAGTGACCTTTATATAAAGATGACTGAGCAACTAGGCAGAGAGACATTAACCTCTACAAATAGTTCCCAGCTAACAGATATCTCTGCTGGAAAATATGCAACCAGCCTTTTAAAATTCTTTTTTTTTTTTTTTTTTATTTTGACATAGGTAAACAAATGGCACAAAGCAAATGCTGTTCCTCAAAAAGGCACGTGCTAGAAGCCTCAAATGCCCTCATAAATTACACCCTGTAAGAAGATTTATGGAAGTTATTTTGCTTTCCTCAAATCTGTGGGATGCTGAATACTTCATGCAATGTATACAACTACCAGCCAGCATCATCAAGAGTGTGACAGACTGGGAGATAATGTGTTTGCTCAGTGTCCAGCACATGCTACAGGATCAGGCCCTTTGCACGTACAAAAGGCGCTGTGAGCAAATTGTGAGAGATCATCAGCTCTCACTGAAATCAGGGCCTGTCAACGTCCCAGTCCTGGAGTTTCATAATAGTCTCCACCAAGACACACTAACTTGTTTTCAAGATCTGGCATTCCTACAATGCCCTACCACATAGCTTTCAGCCCTACAACTACTACAAATGTTATTAAGACATGCATCACAGGAGCATGCAAATACTCAATTATTAAACATGCTTTGGTATCCTGTGGAAGCAAGAGCTCACAGTGTAGAAGAAACTACTCTGAGCAACAGCATTTCAGCTCAGTCACACTTTCTAAGGATGTGTGTAAAGCACCTTGCTGCTTATATTTCTGAAGCTTACCCCAATCAAATTCCACAGCCACATATCCTCACACAAGTACCAAGGCAAACAAAGCAAGCCGACTGGGATGATAAATAATCATTATAATACTTAGGATTTGCGTAATGGTATTCATCTCATAGCACTCTATAAACCTAACTAAATATAAAAAAAAAACTAAGAAGGCAATGTGCTAGAAGCATGCTGCTGAGACTGGATTATTCTGCAAAGTGGCATCCATTTTTTTAAAACAAACAAACAAAAAACCCAACACACAACCAACCACAGTTCTACATTTCAGTTCAGTGAGACAAAGTTTCATCAGCATTACACAGATGCACAAAGGCAGGAGTCTACCGGTCAACACATAACAAGAAATTAATATTGTAGCAACATTTTGTGCCTAGATTCCACTTGCAAGGGGAAATATGATGCTCTCTTAAAAAGATTTTTTTTTTTTGCTAAGCTTTCTTTTAAACATCCATCAACCAGCACCAAAGCATTTTAGTAGAGTATGAAATTGTTTCAAGAAGAACGTCTCTGCTTCAGATCCACATATTTCTGCAAGTGAAACAAGCAGCTCTTTGTCTGCCTCAAAATCAAGTCAGCTCTGGAAGCAACCTGGATTCTAATCTGCCTTGTACATCAATTAAAAACTTAACAGTTGTGTGCTGCCTGCAAAGACATTATTACCAGCAGTTTACATATGAGGTTTAACAAAATCAGCTAGACAGCACCCAGACTGTAACTGTGGATGAACAAGTTGTTACAGAAATCACCAGTTGACTTAAATCTAGTGCTCTGATCTGAAAAACAAAATCTGCTGAGTATGAAATGAAATAGCACAACACTGTATACTGCTTAAAGAACTGGAAGTAAAACAGCCTGATACATGTTTGTTTTCTAAGCAAGGAGTGGCTGTGCTAGTTTATGAATTGATATACACACAAAAAGAGAGTAAGGCAGGCTGGCACTGAAGATAAGGGGTGCTCAGCTAGAGAGTCAGTAAGACAGAATTTCTGTAAGGATGGGAAATCTTGGCAGTGACCATGCCGACCTCTTCAAATTTGTTAAGTGGGAACAGAGGCGTCCATTCTTCTGCAAGTCCTTAGTTCAAGCAAAGCTGCTGTATGTTATAAGCTATAAAAATTACTTTTTGAAAGTAAATGCATCCATGAGCTCTAAGAAATGGCACAGAAATTCAGTGCCAAATCTGAAAAAACAGAGCCACCTTCCTGATGGGCCCCTAAAGGACTGCTATGAATAACATACATTTATAGAAGTTTTGAGTCTGGGCAAACAGCATAAATGTCTGACAAATGTCTGACAAAACAGGAAGACACCTGCTTCATGGTTCATTAACAACCTACCTCCCCAGAGTGAAAAGGCTTAGACCAAGAAATGAAGTTAGATTCCATTTGTCACCCCAGAAAATAGCCCGACCCAGGAAAACAAAGCTACTTACTCAGTTTGGGATAGTCCTCCAGCAGGAAATTCCACTTTTTGGTGTTCATATCTGCAATAGTTACAATAAACACTGTGATAAGTCCTTCTTAAAAGACTGCATTCTCTGTCCACAAGAACCTGGCTATCCATCCATATCCTCTGCCTTTCAGAACCAGTTTAAAAGAATTCCTACCTTGTTCAGCAATCAATTCTCCTCTGTTTGCTTTCATGTTAAGCAAACAGTTTGAAGAAGACTTCGAAGTATGAGCACACATCTAGAAGTGGTGGTATCATCAAGGCAAACCAAGGTCAGCTCCCCTAAAGAACCACTGTAATGAACCAACCTGCCCAAGGATTTTGGCAACCACTTGCTCTTCACTGCAAGAAGGAATGAAGAATGTGCATAGAGGTTCCTATTTGATAACCAGCAAACTCTGACTTCAGTCAGTAACACAGCTGCTTTCAATTGTACCTCTGTACCCTACAGACTGTGCTCAGGACAATACAGAGGAAATTCATCAATTCATTAATACCCAAAATGTAACATGAATGCCAGACTTGTCTGGCAGGTTTGTCCCCGGGTAGCACCTGCCTACAGCTTTCTGGGAAGGCAGAGAGAATTCAGAGTCAGCTGAAGATACAGTGAGCCAGGTGGGGCCCTGGCCAAAGAACAAGAGCTCCAGGATTAGCTCCCCATGCTGTCACTGACCTGATGTGACCCTGCATAAGTCACCTCATCACTCTGTGCTTCATTTCCCACATTACAAGTGGAAAAAAAAGATATTTACCATGGAAATTTGAATGCAAACATAAAAAGTGCTGCTCTACATTTCCACTTGTCTCAAAAACATCAGTAAAGCTGCTGGTAAACTCAATCTGCTCAGGCAGTTGCAGCCATTATACACCACCATAAAGCAGGAGAAATATGAGAATGTCCAATTGCATCTGATAATAAAGACAAGAATTTATGCATCACCTCTATACCGCTGGCAAATTATCAGCACATCCCACCTCAACAGTAAACGTAATCACGTTGAGTCCTCAAATACCACCTTGGCTAACAGGCCCAGAAGAGTAAAGTGCAAGACACACACTGCACTACACTAGAACCAGAGCAGCTTTCAAAATCTTCACCAAAGCACATCCTCTCATGCCCTTTCAGAGGGATGTACTCTCATAATCTCTCTCTTCTAAAGCACTCACAGCACTCCCAAGAGCAGCCCCAGCAACATTGTTAGAATAAAGCAGAAACAACCAGATACTCACCATAATTTCTGGAATGCATCTGTTTGAACACTTCAATCACTTCCAAAGAATACCCAATATCAACCTCAAACCGCAAGCGAGAAATCAGCACACACTTCCCTTTGACAAGCGCTGAGGGTTTCTTCCAGTTCTTACACATCTTCAAGAGGGATTTCACATCAACCCCACTACCAACAAAATGAGAGCCTGATGCCAAGCCAACTGTATTTTCTTCATCCAGTGGTACCAGAACTACTGATGAAAGTTGATTTGCTGCTTCCACTAGGGAGAAAAACATGAGACACAGAGAAAAGAATTAATAACAGAGAACACAGATAAACTAAAGATGCACCGGATCCTTTGGGAAGAAAAGGGACAAGAGGATGACAAACCAACCATGCACCTTCCGCTTTAAAAGGAATAATGATTCTCTGTTTTCACTCACAGGGACAAAGAATAGATTGTTGGACTAGAGGAGCAGGTTGGAAGAATTTTCCACAGAGAACACAGCAGGGGCAGAGGGAACATGTAACAGTAGGTGAACAAGGGCCTGTCCAGCATTGCCACTGCATTAGGCTCCCTCTCTGCCAGCAAAAACAGGGCTCACTAGTTGCAGGGACAGGGGCACGGTGATCAATAGTATGTGCTTGCAGAGATGGGAATGTGCTTCTCCAAACAACAAAGGAGAAAGGTCTAAAAATATCTGCCTCCTTCCTCGTGTCAATGCCTGATACACAATCTCATCTAGGCAGAATGCTGTATATTCACAATACTGGAGGAAGGGTATCAGTAAGGAATCTAGCCCAAACCCCTCTATCTCCTCTGTTACAATTTAAGTCAAATAATCCTTTATTCTACTGTGTCTTACAGATTGACTTGTACTTCCCCCCCAGCTATCTGCACTCCTATCTTACTGATCACTAGCAACCACCTCAGTCACAGTGCCAGGGCATGGGGAGAGAAGGGACACAACATTTTACAGCTGTCAGCCTGAGACCACTGCTATTCACACTAATAAACGTTCCACTTTTTCCTATGCCTCTCTGTCAATCTACATCCTTATGCTGTCTTTATTATTATAGCTGAACTGTGATGGTTAAGGAACAATTTTTTCTTGTATTTTTACAGCACCAAAATAATGAAGTTCATCCCCAAGACCCCAACTCATAGGTATTACAGTGACACAAAGATTCATGAACATCCCCACAGTTTATTAGACTCAAGAGCAGGTTATCACTACACACATTCTGCTTCCACGTATTTGTAGAGAGAGGCAACCTCCCCTACCCAGTAGCTGCTTAGCATAAATACAGTCGTTTGAACACTGGGTTGCACATCACAATCCACTCTGCCTTTTCTAAATAATCCAGCTTACTGATATACAACAAAAATGTACAGAATTTAAGTTCAGTTGTTAAGATTTGAAAAGGGAAGAAAACAGAGAAAGAAACAGAGATATTCAGACTCTTTCTTCCTAACCAGTTAATACATAAACCATTTGGATTTCATCCAACTTTATTTTAAAAAAGTGACTTCTGGAATAAACCCAAGCATTTGAGATTTCTACTCCAAATAAAAAGTTTAAGAGCATCAAGGGAAAGTAACTTTAAAGTAGAGAACTAGGAAACCACCAATTTAGACATTCTCTTCCCAATGTACCAAGCAAAAGATTTTGGATGCTACTGTTTTAGCATGGCATAGTTAGATGTCACCTGTACAAGCAATACTAAAAGAAATTGGAAAAAAAAAAAAACAAAACTTATTTTATTTACCATCTGTTTCTAGGATTGACTGCACATTGAAATTATAGTGCAAAGAAAGAAATGTAATACTGGACAACATTATTCAGAAGAAAAGTAACAGTGGGAAGTTTTAAAATAATTGTTTTTATACTTACAAAACTTCAAACCAAGGCCCTTTTAAGTCAGTTCCCTTTCTCAGGGTATTTTTTCCCCTGATATTATTGCCCAGTGTCGATCACCTATTGTCTTCACCTGTCAACAGGAACTTTCCACAGAGAACTCATATTTGATAGCTTTAGGAAAAAAGTCTGATTTCTATAAACCACCCTCTTCTTTTGCAAGCTCCTTGGTGCAGACTCTGCTCTCATCTGTACTTGATACACTTCAAGCAAACCAGCTGCATTTAAATTATAAATGTGTGGCAACCCACATGGGAAGCTAAAATACCAGCACTCAACTGTGGGTTTTTCAAAGTGCTCAACACAGGCCTCATTCTGTTCCCACTGAAATCAATAGTGATTTATCACTCACTTCAATACAATGTGCTTCTGAAAAGCTTACCTGAAGTGTTTACCTCTATCATATCTCAATCTTTCCAGAACAAAATGACAGGAGAAGAAAAAAAGATAAAACCATCCTTGTTATGCCAAAAAAAGGCAAATCCATTTTCAGTCTCACTCAAAGCCCTAGAGAATCACCCCTTTTCCTCTTCTGACACCCAAAATTAACAGGAAAAATGTAAGGAAAAAAAAAGAGCTGAAGAGCTCTTTAAAAAGAAAACACATGACCAGAACAAGAAATTAAGCATTAATCAGTGAGACACCATCAGTTCTCAATACAGGTTCTTATGAAGTACCTGCACAGCAGATATTTTTCCTATGATCAGGCTGGTCGGTTGCTGAAAAATTCAGCAATGGCAGAAAAAGTTAAACCTATGCTTGGTATTTAGATTACATGAAAAAATAAGTTATTTCTAATCAACTACAAAGTGTCAGAAAAATGTTATGATCTAGATTCCTAAAAAATGGGCATTATGTTTGAATAGCACTATTTTTACTACTCCAGATAATAACAAAGCTAATTATTATGGAAAGCAGGGAAAGGGGGTCAAGATTTGGATTCTTTATCATTCAACAACCCATTTACTTACTGAAACTGCTATAATCTTCCAGGCTGAAATTCCATTTTTTCGTAACAGGATCTAAAATAGGGCAGAATATGAATCATTTGGGGTAGAAAAAATTGGTGTTGTGAAATGTTCATGCAAGGTAAGAGAGAATTCAGTCTACTCTTGCAAACTTTCTGACACACATCTGAAAAACAGTATGCCCAAATTTACAGCTACATGACACCAAAAAAGCCATAGGACATATCAATACTAAGACAAGAATGCAGCAGCCATTCACAGGGAACAGCAACACATGGGGAAACAAAGGTAGAATATAACAAATAAAGGCAGGGAGAAAAGATCAGAAGCAAGCCAAAAGGTGGAGACTCCATTGCTCTCACTAACCCAGTTAACATAATCAGCTCATCAACTCTGAACTACTCCTACGTGACCCATTTTCTCACACCAGTTCACTCCCAAAAGACTGACCAGCTGCTGTCACTAAAATTCTTAGAGCACTGCTCATAAAGGAGAGTTTCTGATTCCTTGGCTAAATCTAAGCTGAATCTATTTATGCCCAGCATTTCTTTCCAATTTCAGCTGTCTTTACTTTTCCAATCCCCCATTAATCCCACATATTCACCCCAGCAATAGCTGCACTGCTAAGAGCATATAGCATCTGCAGTTCTAGCAGATGCTGAAACTTCAATTCAACGTAAACCAGAGATAACAGCAATCAAATCTTACCATAGCTTTTGCTTGGTATCTTCTTAAACAGAGCAACGAGTTCAGCATTATACCCTATTTTGACCTGGAATCGGCCTTCCCCATATTTAACGCATTTTCCTTTTGTAACACTATTTGCGTTCTTGCAAGAGGCAGCTTCAAAGGTAGAGCTTGCACCAACAGAACTGGTCAACTTCTGCATCCTATCACTGGCTTGAGAGGCACAATCTCCCCCTTCTCTTTCAGTTGGTCTGCTTCTGTTTATCAGCATTTCTGAATCACTCGGGGTGGTGCTGCTTGGTGGTGAGACATATTTTATGGCAGATTTGTTCTGACTCTCTAAATCTTTACTACCGTCAGGGTGCCCATTATCAATTAATCTAGAATGAGATGGTTCTGCAGGGTTTTCGAAAGCTGAGTAGCATTTGGGCTGCTGGAATGTACCAAGATTAATTAAAGCTTGTTGTCCATGTTCCTGACCACCAGCATCCATGTAATGTTTATGGGAATAACTCAGAGAATTTGGGATCGTTGCAGGGAACTGCTTAATGCCAGTTGCTTGCTCTGAGTCCTCTGAACAATTCTTTTGTTGCTCTCCATGTGAGCCAGCCATCTGTTGGTTTGCAGTAGAATGACTATAATCTTTCTGAAGATAGTTCTTTTGCTCTGCATGACTGTTTGGATTCTGTTGGTGCTGGCTAATGAACCTGGCATGATTGTATTCTTCCTGCAAGTTTCCCCGATTCCCTGGACTCTGTTCTTTCACCTGAGGTCCACTGATCCCCAACTGCCCACCTCTCTGGGCTGCTAGTCTCTCTGCTCTCCTAGCCAAAGCCTTCTGGCGGTTCTCTTCAATTCTTCTCTTTTGTTCCTCTGTAAGGCCTGATGACATTTTCCACAATTCAAACAATAAATCTCAATCAAAACTGCATCAGGAATTAGTCACAGAGGCACCTGCTTCTTCAGAGGAATGGAGGCCAGTCTACAAAAAAAAAAAAAAAAAAAGACACAAAAAACCCCCAAAACAAAACAGCAAAAAGTGACAAAAGGTTTCAACTCTGTTCCCCCCCCAAAATGCTTATTGTATTGATAACTCATTATTATTGGTGACTATTACTGCAACTGATCCTACACAAAAACCCAGCAGTACAGCAAAGCTGTCAAACCAATGCTGAGCCATTATCAGCAAGCAGATGCTGACAACCACCGCTAGGACTTTGCATGCCAGTGCTACACAGGTAAAACATATGGAAAATTGGAGAAAACCCCTATTCTACCACAGTTCTAAGCACTCTTCTGTGCAAACCCCAGCAGAGCTGATAGAATAGCCAAGCACAGGGACACCCTGCACTGCAGAGCCAGCCCTGCAAAGGTAAATGGAGGTAAAGCAATACATCTCTGCACAGTCTCGTGTGGCAGTTTTTCATATTTCTGGTACCTAACAGCAAAGATGGGAGGGACAACACCCCACCTTTCCTGATCACCTTCCAGTTCTTGAGCATCTCACTAAATGTAGCAGATACATACTGAACCCCAAAGGGCAGAATCAGCTCCTGCCTTGAGAAAGGCCCACTCGCAGGTCACGGACTTTCTGCTAAAAACAAGGACTTGGGTCCCACATCTCCCATGAGCTGGTCTCACTACATCCACTCCCTGCCTCATCCCCCAGGGGCTGCCCACCTCCTCCGGCACTCAAGAGACTTACTTTCCTCACCACCCCGTACGAAATGAGGCTTGCTCCTTGCTCCGCTCCTCTCCCAGGCTCCAGGCTCGCCTGGCCCCAACGCCACCGCGGTCCCGGCCCTCACCCCGCAGGCTGGGGGTCCCCCGCCGTCCTCACGGACTACCCACCGCCTTACCGCGACCCAGCACCACCGCGCCACGCCGCAGGCCTCGGTCTTTCCCCGCCACCCAGAGCCCCCGGTACAACCCTCCCGGGGCTCTGCCGCTTTAACCCCGCCACAGGCCCGCGCACCCACCGGCCGGCAGAGGCCCGGTTCGCCGCCGGAGGGCGCGCAGGCATATAAACTACAACTCCCAGCAGCCCCCGCTCTACCGCCTGGCGACACCAAGCCGCCGGCAGCGCCCAGCCTGCCGGGAACTAAATAGCGGCGCGCAGGGTGCTCGGCACACTGGGAAATGTAGTCTTCCTCTCATGGCGCCATCTTAGGGGCGCTGGGTGCTGCGCGGTGTCGCCGTGGGAGTCGGGGGGTTGGAGGCCACCGCCGCCGCCCTCTCGACGGGGTTCGGCTCTGTCGGGGACCCTTGTCTGGCGTTGCTCCAGACAGCACTCAGCGCTGCACGGCTGGGGCAGGCCTCCCTCGCCGATTGCCTGTGGTGTGTGGGCCCTGCGCTGTGGTTTAAACCGTCTGTCACCGGAACATCACACAGCCGCTCGCTCGCCCTCCCCTGGCCCGGAGGATGGGGAAAGGAATTGGAGGGGTAAAAGCGGGGCTCGTAGGTTGAGATAAAAACAGTCTAATAATTGTAATAATAACAATAATAGAAAGTACAAACAGTAATGCGCAGTGCGACTGCTCACCACCCCGCCAACTGATACCCAGCCAGCAATCCTGAAATGCCAAGATCCCGCAATTGCAATCCCAGAAGCGAGACAGCTCCTTTCTGGCCACCCCTCCACTATATACTGAGCATGGCGTTACACGGTGTGGAATATTTCATTGGCCGGTTTGGGTCTGGTAGTCTGGCCACGCTCCCAGCTTCTTGTGCATCTGCGCACAGGCAGGACATGGGGAGTTGGAGAGTCCTTGATATCTTAGCAACAACTGAAAACATAAGTGTATTATCAGCATTCTTATACCAAATGCCACACTGAATCCAAAACACAGCACTATTCTAGCTACTAAGAAGAAAAATTAACTCTGTCCCAGCCAAAACCAGGACAGCCTGACGCGCCAAGGTGTGTGGCTGTTAAATGGGTGACTATGAGTGAGGAATAAAAAATTGAGGTAATGCATGAGAAAGGGTGCAAACGCCGTTGTCAGCAGTGAGGACAGAATCCACCCCCGGGTGTTAAGAGCAGTGGCTGACATTGGTGCAAGGCCGCTGTCTGCAATCTCTGAAAAGTGGTGGAGATGAGGGGATGTCCCTGGCAACTGAAAGAGGGCAAATGTCCCTACAAGAAGCACCCAAAAGGGGACCCAGGAAACTACAGGTCCATTAGTCTTACTCCAGTCCCTGGGAAAGTAGTAGAGCGAGTCTTCCCAGGAACTATCACAAACCAAATGAGGTAGGTGATTGGGAAAAGCCAACATGGATTTAGCAAAGGTAAATCATGCCAGGCTAACCTGATCACCTTCTACAATAAAATAACATTTTCTGTCTACATGGAGAGAGCAGTGAATGTTGTTTATTTGGACTTCAGCAAAGCGTTCAACCCTGTTTCCCACAGCCTCTGCCTGGATGAACTGGCCAGATACAGACTGGTGGGGTAGTCTGTAAGATGGATAGGAAATTGGCTTGCAGGCTGCCTGCAGAAGGTGATGATCAATGGGTTTTACTCAGGCTGGCAGCCTGTCACAAGTTGGGTCCCTCAGAGTTCAATATTTGACTCCATGCTGTTCAACAATTTGCACTGGAAGAAGTTACATCTTGATAGAAGAAAGAAATTTTTTACATTGAAAACAATCAATCACTGGAACAACCTCCCCAGGGGCATGGTGAGGTCCCCATCACTGGAGGTTTTCAAGGTGCAATTGGACAGGGTGCTAGATAATCTCATCTAGGTTCCCTTTCCCACAAAAGATTGGACCAAATGATCTTTTGAGGTCCCTTCCAACCTGAGCTGTTCTATAATTCTGTGAACACCTTCATAATAAGGTAATTACTCATATTTGCATCAAAGTTCTGAATAAAAGTGTCTCCCAGGGTTTTAACTGTACATGAGGCTTGATTATACACATCAAGCTGCCCTTCCTGGACAGTCATGATCTCCATGTGTGTGATCAGAGCGATACCTGGGGAGAAAGCAAAGAAAAGGCCCTGGGGAGAACCATAGCCCCTTCCCATCTCTGACTTTCACTACCCTTCCCAGTGGCAGGTCTGAAGCCACCATCCCTGTCCCTAGATGCTATTTTCTCCCACCTGACAGACCCTTTGGCTGGGGATTCTGAAGCCAGCTGGCTGTTTCACAGTTTATTCATTCTTTTCTCTGCTGGTTAATTAGAAAAGGTTATCCTTAAATTGCTTCCTGATTAAGCAGCAGTGACTGCCATTAGTCAGGAGCTCATCAGCCCAAGAAAAACAAGCCAGGCAGCAAGAACAAGATGCAACTCGACACACAGCACAACCCTGGGAGTGCTGTTACCTGGGGATCGCACACACACAGATGTGAGCATGCCATGTGCACACAGGTGCTCACAAAATATGGTACTTTTAAAGAAAACCACAGGGCTGAGAAGAGGCCCAGGTCCAGCTTCTCTTAAGAAAAAGAGTAAAAGTGAAAGCTTTTTCCAGATTCCTGGTCCCCTCACTGCAGAGTGGGTTTGCTAGGAAAGGATGTTCAGCCCTGTGGTCTCCATTCAGATCATCTGCCATTGCCCTTTTTTCCCCTGCAAGCCATCAGGCTCCAGCTGGCTACACAGCAGAGAGAGAAGAGAGTGAATGAGAGACCTTTTTTTTCGCCTTCTAATCACACTTTTAACTGCCCGAAGCTAAACCAGATCCCAGTGTCACATATGGGAGAGAGAACATGCAGATCATAACACCTGCAACTGTTTCCAGCCACCTTCTCCCACCTAGCAAGTATCCAATTCCAGGAGGTCTCTGGTCATGGCTCCTTATACTTTGGGAGATCTGGGGAAAAAAAAAAAAAAAAAAAAAAAAAAAAACACAAAAAAACCCCAAACAAACAAACAAAACAAACCCATAAACAACAACAACAACAAAAAAACAAGGTTGGGAAAAGTGGAGAAAAGCCCTTATCAGGGCCGGTCCCCAACTTGTGAAAATTATGAGATTAGAGCATTATTTGCAGAGAGCTTTTGGGCTGCACGGTCAGGCAGACACACGGACAGACGTTGAAGCATTTGCTCCATATGGCACAACTTCAGCAAGGCACAAGGAACAGCCCAGCCATGCAGGGAACAGACCTACAAAATGAGAGGCCATTTGTGAGCAGTTTGCTGGTAGCACTCCAGGTGTCCCTTCAGTCAGAACATGCTTCCAGCAGTGGCTTGGACTCACCCTCCACATACTGGGACAGGGAGCAGAGATGCAGTACGAAAATCCTGGGAGGATGGAGAGGGTTAGCACACCCCAGATCTACTGCAGAGGAAATGGTTCACCCACTTCCGAAGAAACAATCCCATCAGTGAAAAGACTTAAAAAAATGGTGTTCTAAGTTACCAGGATCTTTCTAGCACTTGGATCGTGTACTAAACATCCTCCCAGCTGGCTGGTCCTAGCTGCTGGCTCCCAAACAAGGACAGAACTACCTGCATTGTACATCTTGTATAAGCAGCAGTTAATATCCAAAATACAAGTGACCCAAGACCCCAGAGATATCCTGGAATCTCATGACTTGTTCTCTGAGGGGTTTTAAACTGCACTTAAAAGGTCCTACTGCTGTCATATTGAGTGTATTTGCCCCACTCCACCTCCTTGGCTGCACGTGTTGGTGGTTCTCCACATGGACAGAGCTGGCTGCTTTCATCCTGGAAGTGTGGCCAGCCTGCACTCTCTGCTTGGGCTGCGTTGCATGCAGAGCTGCTGTGTGTAGCAAGGCCATCCAGCAGACAACTGGAAGTCAGGCCAGGCTAACAGCCCTTAGATGCTCCAGCTTCTCGAAGGGTTTTAGTAGCCCACACTGAGTTCAGAGACACCACTACTAATGCCCAAATGTGCCAATCGATGATGAGCTGTGGAGAACTTGTAGTTGCACCTTCTTCTAAAATAAATTCATCCCATGCTCATAAGCCTTATCAGTTCTTTCCCAGCTAAAACCAGTCAAGTGGCTGGACTGGGGACATGTAGGTCAGCTCTTCAGAGAAGGTCTTGGGGCAGGAGATTCAGAGAAAGGCCCTTGGACTGACAGAGCTTCTTCTGGTTGGAGAAACCCTTTCTTGTGGGCTGCTAAGGTCTGACCTGAGTACTTGTTACAGCACCTGTCTTCTGTAGCCTCTGTGGCTGTGCTTCCTCTGCTCTGGTTTGGGGTCCTCAGCAGGGTCTAAGCTTCCTAATGGGGAACCAGAGCCCTGGGCTTGGATGGCCAGGGTGTGCTTGCTTGGGTTTGTGGGATGCTGACCCTGCATCCCCCCTCTACCAGTTCTCCCTGTATTTATTTTCTTAGACAGCTGTTGATCCCCTCCACTTTCCCTCTACCATCAAGGCACATCAAGGACCATGGCTTGCTGGCCCATTTGACAGCCTAGCTACTACAGCAAGTTGACTCTGAATCAGGCCCTTTCTCTGAGCATCTTTGTAGCACCAAAGACAAAATTTGGAGTTTGTTGAATCCAGCTGCCCTTGAAATTCTGATGAAAGAGGACCTGCAGAGTCTGTTCTGTGTGCTTTTCTAGTATGAGAACATTGCTCCCCTCCTCTGACTGCCAGCTCAGTGAAGACCACTTCTTTTTCCCTGCTCTTTGGCCACGCAGTGCAAGGAAAATTAGTTTCCCTCCACTCTTTTGAAGCAGCCTCTTTTATCTACACAGCTTGTTCTTCCCTGGCATGCTGAAGCCTTCCTGTTCTTGTTTATAGTATAACCCCTCCAACAGATTGCAGGGTCTCTTTTCTGCCTTCTGTCCTTCTTGGCTGTATTCCTCTCCATAACTCCAGTCCAGAGCAATGGTCTGCACAGCACATGGCCTCCGCTTTGCTGCCAGGCCGCTGCCACGCTCACAGGGCTGCTGCAGAGCTGAGTTCACTCTTGATCTTTTATGCAATGCAGCCCAGGTGTGGGGGCCAGTTCACTGGCACCCAGAACAAAGATTTTAAAGAGAAAAAAATCCCC